ACCCAGCAAATTGAACTAAATTAGTTCACTGCATAGCGTGAAACTCTGAGTAACAACATTTTCTGTTATTTCTATATATCGCTTTACAAATAATGTGTATTGAGCTAAAAAGTTTAAGCGCATACACACCACATTGTAAGACCACTTTGTTGAAATTTCTATCATCTTGTAAAGCAAAATAGAGGACCTAAATAAATTTATTAGCATTGTACAAAATACCCTCCAACAAACCTACTGCCATCTTTAAATTTGTTCATTGCTAGCATATTACAATATAGACACACCCAATCTTAAGAGACAATGTCTATAAATATTACAATTTCATGATTAGACCTAATTAATCATTTATTTCAAGTTTGCCATTTCAATCTATTATTACTTTTCTGTTTATTTATACTGATTTATTCCACCATATTTAGCCATATAGCTGACTTCAAAGTAGCAAAGATAAGCATAATCTTAACCATGAGAAATTGTTTGGTCATTACATAGAAAATGAGATGAGGTTTTCTAAAAATCTTAATATGTTTATACACTGAAAGCATTGTATTGCACCCTTCCAATTTACAGTCAGACATCAGATGGCTCTTGCAAATCAACTAAACTTAAGTTATTTAACTATCACAAAGATCCCAATTTGTGACATCATTTCTGGTTAAGCATTTCTATATTTGCAGGAACCACAGACATTTGAATGTAAAATGGAATGATACAAATAGAAGCCATTAAATGCTTCTGGAGACACAGTTTAAAATCTTAACAATTCCTTTAATACAGTGATATACCCAGTACAAAGAAGATAATGTCTAATCATGATAACTTTCTTGGCTGAGGTCACTATAATAAGGAGGAAATTATGAGATACGCCTACTTGTACTAAATAAGTATCTCATACAGAAGTAATAAGGATATTTGATTTCCTACTGTTTTGAAAGTGATTGAGTTTCTACTAAAAATTCTAGGTACTGTTCTAATGAATATTAATGAAAGAAAAGCTAATGAGTTATAATTAGTTTGATCAATAAATTATAATCATTAACTTCAATTATTGATGATAAATGCCAACTTTTCACTCCCTAAAATTTTATTAGATTGTTTCATTAATGTCGGTTTCTACAGACTGGAATATTTGGCCATATAAAACTGCATACTTTTTTTTAGCTACTTTTGATTTTTGTTTTTTTTTCTTGATAAAGGGATTAGTCTGGAAACGTAGCCACATTTACTCTAATTGTATTGACTTTTGACCTACTGTTTGAGTGTTATTGTGTGATTTATTTTTTTTTATTACTAGTCAACTCATAGTTTATGTAAGTAATTTTTCGGGGAATCTGATAGCAGCTTTTCAATGACTGTTGACTACTGGAAGCATTTAATCACTCACTGAAATTTAATCATCTTACAGCTTGTCACAAACTAACCGATCTTTTGATGGTTTTTAAAGGCTTCAAACAATCTAGTATGTATAATCAACCCACACTTTGTACTAACTCTTAGAAGTCTCCTGCAATGATCTAGACAGCTAATTCATGAAAGCTTCATGCTGAAAGGAGCATGTGACAAGTATTAGCATCTGTGTCTATCCTTAACATTGATTACACATGGCCAATTTCTTGATGTTGAATCCAACATACTTTGAATTTCCCTTTTTTCTTGTTGATCTGGGCTGACTTTTTATTCCCATCCCCTCCCCACCTTTCCAAACAACCAACTTTCCTAATAACAGATTTTGTATCTGAATCATGTGTTGACAGCACAAGATGAGCTCAATCCAATTAGATAGGAGTTGAGAATGGTTATACTGTAGAATATTCCTGTTTTTGACTTGTCCTGATAAGAAGTTTTAATCAGCATCCAATTAAAATTGTGTACAAATAACATTACAAATTAAATGGGGATGTTCAGACTAAAAAAAAAACTCTTTTCCAGGTGAATAAACTACTGGGTATGAACATTTTTTTCCCTTATTCTTTGAAAAAGGAGCAGTTAATAGCCAAAAAATATTTCCAAAATGAGATGATTTGGTAGTCATATTATCATATGCTTAAGACATGTGAACAAAATTAGCTGATTCAGTACTAATTTTTATTTTGAGGCATCATTTGTACTCAATGCCTGAATAGTTTGAGAGCAATCTGACACCAAACATTTCCAAAGTTTGAATAGTGAACAGAAGGGATTTGATATTGCCAACAGCTGGTTAAGTCATCATATTGAAGAGGGAAGATAGATTTGTATCAATTTGACTGTTTGGACTCTACATATAGAAGCTTATAGTATATGAATGGTTTCAACACAAAAATCAATTCATTTAGTTCTTCTCTAATCAGCAAAATGTCATGCTTTATATTTGGATACTGCCATGACCTCCTTAAATAAGTCTACATATAACTACATCATTGCAACTTTTCCTGTTTATAAATCTTAATATGACACCCTTTGAAGAAATTTCTTGGTAAACCTGTCTATAGGTGCATGACTTGCATATAACATATTTATTTATGTATCTAGCTTATGACGTTAACAAGGACTAACAAGAAGATTCTATCATCTGAATATGATTATAATCTAACAAGCAGTACCCTAGTGACGACATTGTTAGAATTATTTGTTGCCAACACTAACTGACAATATCTAATAATAATGTCTAAGTATAAGATTATTATTATTTATGTCAGTTTTATGTGGTATTTGAAGAACATTAAGAATACTCATTGTATCGGTACAGGTACTTTTGAAAAGTACCAGTTTTTTGACTGTTTTAATGCAAAATATTACATTCAGAGAATAATACTTAGATTCTGGAACCTGAATTCTTAAACGCACCACTTTTTGTTTACTTTTATGAGCAAAATATTACATTTATTATGCTTACTGGAATAAGCTTATACTATCTGTTCTAGTACCGTACCCTGTATTTTTAATTAATGATATTAAGCTCCCTGACTGTTAGATTGTCTCCTATCTTCCTAACTTAATTTTTTCATCATACTTACATACTGTACCAGGTATTAAACAACCTAGTTGAAACCTACAGTGGTGTGATATTTTCAATGTAAGAGTTACTATTTGGATGGTGCTAAAATTTGATCAAGGTTATTTTCTAGATCTTTCATGAGGAAATATAAACAAACTGACTAACAATCAACATGGGTGCCAACAATGTAATATGTAAGTATAAAAGTATCCATGTTAGAGATACGTAGGTGTACACTTTAAAAATGATTATAAAATAATGAAAAAATATATTATAAATCAAGTACTTATCAATTCAAACTTGCACAGAGAATGGCTACATTTGGATAGAGAAATTAAAATAATGGCAAAGTAAAACTACTCTCAAGTTTATTATCATAAACTCAGTAGGCACATAATGAACATATATACTTTACTTCACTGCCTTCTCATAGGTGCATGTTCTTTCAATTAGTCTGTTATGGAAGCTTGAGATATATCACCTTGCATTCCTTTATATACACTGTAGACAGCTATCCTGGGAATTAACAGACTTTCTACACAATTTTTATGAACTGGTATCTATTCAACATAAAACCTAAAAGAGGAATCCCCCTCTAATTTCAATAAATTTGGCTTAGAAATTGGGTTAATCAATACTGAGGTGTAGGAGGTTGAAGATTCCATCTTGAGATAGACTGCTACTCTGAATAAAATTCAGATTTATTTATGTCATTTTTGCAACCTGTAGAGAGGTACTACCGGTACTTGTGTTGATTTTTTAAGGAACTTGCAAATTCAAGAGAATAATCAACTTAAAGAGACAGATGCACTATTTTGGGGGTTGATTTGAGTCTGAATAAGCTTATATTTGAAAAGTCTCAGAAGTACTAGAAAATCTATATTTCTATAGATGTCTTTTCTATATCAAAGAGTCTTTTTAACTTTCAAACACGGATAATTCTGGACACACATGGATGGGTATGCTCAAATTTTGATGGTGAGCTGTGAACACTAAAACTGGTTGGCTCAGCTAAAAAAAAATCCTGATTATAAGACTAAGGTACAATTGGTCGAACGTTTCTGAGGTTATAGTACGATTAGTAAAAAAAAATGACGCACCTGTCCCTTGAAAAGGTATACAATAAGATAAGGACAGAATCTATAAAAACTAGTCCAGTTTTTTGCACCTTCCTAACTCTTAACACACTTTTCATGTGAAGTTCAGTGATCATTGTATCAAGTCTAAATACAAAACAGACCTATCACTAAAGATGTAGATGCACTCAAGAGTTGAAATGAAAGAATTTATCAATCTGATTACGCCTGATTTACCAGAATTGTTTCTTGAACTTAATATCACAGCCAGACTTGAAACAATTTCAAAATGTCAATTCTTTAAGTACGTTTTCCCCTGGTAAGAAGCAGGTTACATACTATTTTCCAATTTGAAGAAAAATGCCAATAGTCTAGAAAATTAAACAAACTTCCAAGCCTTATTACCCATTTAATCTAAACAAATTAAAAGATGTTTATCTTTCAAACACTTCATTTCTAGTTCTAAAAGATATGATTTGAGATATTTTAATCAAAGAGCTGTATTTTTTTTTTTTTTTTTTTTTGCTGAACCTGAATCATGCTCAAACAGATTCGGACAAGATATTGATAATTGTGCATTACAGCTTCAAAATAAAATTCAATAATGCAAATGGGAAATTACGCTATCACTCAACTGGAATTTTACCAGCATGCGTATTCAAAATATTGTAACCAAAAAAAACTCATAGAGTTAAATGGTAAAATTATCATTATTCTATTGTAAACAATATTTCAATTAATTAATGAAATTATGCATTGCAAATATTGTGTTACCGGTATAATAAATACAGGGTGCTACTTTAACAAGGGACAAGTACATTCAACTCAGCGACAATGGTAAACCATCTCACTATTCCTGGAAACCATAACATGCTCTGAGCTCATTTTCAGTCACTGGTAATTTAAGGGAAATTAAGCCAGGCAAGGTAAGAAAAAAAGGTACTCACTCAGCTTCATCGTTTTCAAAGGTCAGTTCTCCATGCACTAGCTCATAATCCTTTCCTGCTTTAGCTGTACCATCAATGGTTGTATATGGTATCTTAACGGTTCCTCTTGCTCCAGATGAACGCACAACCTTTATGTGCATTTCTCCTATAGATTCAGTGACAACAGTTTCATCTTCTTCAAAATGAAAGATACCAGGATGATCATCATCAAGAATCATGACAGTGGCCATTGAGGGGTTGACAATCTGAGCAAGACTTTCAACACGATCACTTTCAAATAGTCCTTGAGAGTCACCAATACGTAAATTACTCAACTGAACATAGAAATGCTCATCTTCTTCAAACAATTCATCATCAATGATTGAAACACTAAACTGCTTGTGAGTTTCTAAGGGATAAAATACCAGAGTTCCCTCAGCATATTCAAAATCATGTCCTGCATTAGCGGTACCATCTTCTGTTTTGTAGTCCACGTAAACAGTCTTGGACAAATCTCCACCTTCTCTTGTAACCGTGAGAAAGAAAGAGCCAACGTTTTCCATGACAGTATAATGACCAGGATCAAAATAAACTTTTGTGATTGGATCTTCTTCCTTAACTTCTATTTTGGCATCACTGGCTTCAGATCTAAGTTCAATTTTAGACTTTTTAATGACATTACCACTACCAGTCAGTTTACGTGTAGCTTGGATTCTGTAAAAAGCTCTACTCTTTGGACCTCGATTTACAGCTTCGTATTCTGCCATTTCTTCTAATGTTTTCATGTCAACATTGGGATGTTTTTTCCTCAATTCTCTCATGATTTCAATGTATTCCATTCTATGTTTCTCGAATTCCTTGACTTCACTATCTTCTGAATTAAGGCCTTTAAATTCTACTTCATCTCCAACATGATTAGTCTTACCATCAGCCATCTCTTGATCACCATAGCCTTCAGATTGAACTATTACACCTTTCCTATTACTAGCACGATACTTTTTGGAAAAAAAGCGATACACAAGGATCTTTCGGTCAGCAATATAAGCTGTAATAACAGTTCCTGGGAAAAAGAGGAAGGTGAAGACAGCCTCGGCAACAGAGACTATACCAGGTGATGTTACTGACAAAATGAAATATAGCCATAAATAAGCAAATATACTCCATGTTGCAGTTATGAAAAAAACACCCAAATGCTTTATTCGACGCACTTCTGAAGAGGGAATACAATAAACACAAATAGCTGTGATGATAAACAAGTTAAAAGCTGCACTGCCAACAATAGTAGAAGGCCCAAGTTCTCCCGCTTCAAACTTATTTCCACAAATTTCAATAACCGAAAGCAGAATTTCTGGGGCTGAAGAACCCAATGCCATTAAAGATAAATTAGATACAGTTTCATTCCAAATTCTAACATTGACAACAGTGGTATCACCATCAGGCTTTTTAACTACAACCTCTTTTTCCTTAGAAGTTATTACTTCAATAGCTGCCATAAACCTGTCAGCAATAATAGACACTCCCAGAAACATATAGATCATGGCTGCCATGTAAACAGTTGCTCTGGCTGCCTTATCTCCATCACTTAATCCACCAACTGGTGTCCACAATGGTAAAATAACACCTTTTCTACATTTTTCTGCAGTTTTGGTACATACTTTTTCTGTAACATTCTCTGCAGTAGAAGTCAGCACATCTTCAGAAACACCAATGGGTGTAGTTTGTGCGAAACTTTCTGGAATATTGGCTAAAACTACCAAGAAAAAGGCAATGATGATTCCACACTTGTTCATAATGGGTAAATTAACAGAAAGTAATTTGGATCTAAGGTAAGAGAAAGCCATGTTTTCAGCTCATGAAACAGTTGTATTATATTATATGATCAGTTCTGGTAAACCATGTTCATATCATGCTTCTTGATATCCCTGAAAAATAAAGGCATCTTTGTTAATGAACAATGGCTTTTAATTATTGAAGATTTAAGATTAACACCAGATAAGAATATAAATCTGAGGATTACGCATGCTTACTTAAATATTCTATTCACATTATAAAATCTTTTAAAAATCTGTCATGTGAGTAAAAAGAGAAACCTCTATTTTAGAAGGTAATTGTACACCATTTCCATAGAAATTATCTGAAACTACATTATAAAAATATATAATTTTGAAGTTCAATCAGGTCTTCAATGACAATGTTATATTCCACAACAGAGTCAACAATCTTTAAATTACATGGTGTAATGTAATATGTCTCTATATCTAAAATAACTCATTATATAATTCTCTACTTTCTAAAGGTGCAGGCAAACAAGCAGTCTTGAGTTTCAAAGACTGGCAAGGGCACACGAGAAGACAAAAATCTCCAGTTGGTTGTTTTCCTCCTTGTTGATAATGACGTGTGGAGCATGCTTTTGAAAGGAAAAGGAATCTGATTGGATTTTGACGGTCTGTAAAGACCATAAAACTATCGGAGACAATTATCAAACTTCTTTGATAATTCAAATCTTGTCGCGGAAGCACAATCACACGTAAGATTTTACTTAAGATTCGAGACAGACAAAAATCTTCAACCAAGACAGTTCCTGCACCTTTACACACTAAAATCATTTTATCAAGTCACTTGAATGACATTTAAGACAATGGAAGTATTTCAATATATTTATTTCTAGAAATCAAATTCATGAAAAGGAATCTTTTTTTCCTGACCAAGGACATTCAATTTGTACCTACAAGCAAAGTCAGTGTTATAAATTTTTGCCCAAAACATTATGGCCGAGATAGAAAAATTGGAAATTTGCATCAGCACCTTTGTTAAAATAACCAGTAAAAACCATACAGTATTTAAGTAATATCATACCGGTACTCGTATTTTGATATTTAATATTGTCATATCCACTTGAACCAACATCACCCAGCCCTAGCCAAGATTAAAATATTACTATAGTTCATAAAGAATGAAATCAGTAGGAAATGAAAATATATACATGTACAGTCAAGTAACCTAATTTCGTGGAAACCTATTTTTCGTGGATTTCCGGAAAGGGTTAATAATTTACATGTGAGACCTCGCGTGACCTCCGCATTTGCTTGTTTTGATAAAAACGGGTTTTCTGTACAATATCAGCTAGTAGGATAAATTCAGTAGTTTCAAGTAAAATGGCGGATTTCAGTCATTACCAAACGTCACCATTTTTTAAGCGGCCGAATTTCCTTATAATCCCAAGCGGTAATCGGAATCCCAAGTGTTGTCTGCTAGAATGTAGTCCAACTAATGAACTGAATGAAGTCACGTGATCGACTAGCGGATTCCGTGTCAGCAGAACATTTCTTTGCAACACAAAGTGGACCATATTCTTATGTTGTTTCAGTGACTTTTAGCAATAAATCACGCTACGTATCTTATTTTGTCAGTCACTATTTTTTTAAATCGTGGTCCTTTGAAAGAATTGTCACTAGTTATAATGAATTGATATTAAAGATAAATACTAAGAGAAGTTAATTATACCACCCGGTATCCATACAAGGTGTTTTTCTAGACTTATTTATACAGGGTTCATACAGCACTTTGCCTCAAAAATTCAAAGACATTTCAAGGACTCTGGGCTTTGAAATTCAAGGACTTTTCAAGGATATTAGTCTGACAGAATACACATGTACCTAACTTCTGAACGAAGGAATCAAAAAAAATAATTAATATTTGTCAATGGGTTTAATGATAAAAATATACACAATTTGACTCAACTCAAAATTCAAGGACTTTTCAAGAGAAAATGGGTTTTTTATGGTGTTTTCGAAGACTTTTTTTGAAATCAAGGTTTTTCAAGGCAACGGACGGAATTCAAGGGTTTTTCAAGGCTGTGCAAACCCTGTTATAGATCAAACACGAAAATAGGTGTTGCCGCTGTTCCCGAGTTGGTTGCTCATGAAATATGGGTCAAAGTGAAGGATTCATTAAGAAAATCGAAATAAACCAATTTTAATTATTTTGTAGAATACCTGAGGAAACATCTGAGAAATTAAAAAAAAAAATTCGTTTTTTTAACTTTGACGAAATTCGGTGTATCCTTATATCCACGAAAATAGGTTACACTACTGTAGAATGACGAAAAGATCTACAATTTCAAATTTTTCACCTGGAGGACATTGACTTCATTCTAACCCAAAACATTTCAAAAGCCATCATTATTTTCATGTGATTCTTTTTTTGTAGGCTATTCCAAAGACTTCACATAGACTGACACAGTGACAGGTGCATGAACATTACTGCTTTTCATCTTATTGATGACATTTATGATGGCAAACAATTATCACTGTTTTGATTTTTACTACAAATTGTGGTCTATTAACATGCCTACCTGATAGGCCTACCTATTTTAATTTTAGAATTTTTTTCATTAGATCTACCTTCACAAGACAAGTTACATTTTTAAGCCTAATAACATCTCTAAGCTTATCAAAATTTAGAAAGATGAAAGTATGAAAAGATGTATGGTGTAAGCTTATACAACTACAAGATTAGAATGTATGATGCGATTAATTCTAAAGAATAGTGATAGGTCAGTTGTTTATTAGGCCTATAAATTCGCTTTTGATTTGAGGTCTCAAATGAAGACATCACTCAACTCTATTACACTCACAGTTCTGGCTCAGGAAATCACTTTCATTCTAAAAAAAAAAATCCATGAAAACAATCAACCTCTGCAACTGCTGTTTTTAGATGTTTGATTTAAATAATACTCCTTTTCTCCTATCCCGGCATATCACCTACGTACACGTTATCCACAATTTAACATCAGAAAACTCATTCCATGATAATCAATTCCACAAACTGCACAGGTAGGTTCGTCCAAGCAGCTAGCACAGAATGAGAATGACTGCTGCAGACGATTTTCAGCACACCAAGTGACCAAACTTGGCATAAGGGGCAAATAACTCCATAATCTAATACAGAGACAAGACTACAATTACGCTACATTTAAAGGGATAATTCTTAGTCCAAACTATGGCACTACTTTTCGTAAGCTTCGATTCTTTCTGTGTTCTCGTTAAGGACTTTTTCTAAACCTTCTACAATAATAGTCCATAGTAATTTATAAATGGGTCTTTTCTGTTTACGGTGTTCGGAGATATTCACAGCCGCATTAGGCCTATCATATGCTACCTAAATGGACTAGACTAGGCATTTTCTTTTGAAAAACGTGACTTATAATATTCTTGAAATTTTTGTATGAGCTTCACATGAACTTAATTTTTGTTATTATCTGTTGTTAAGTCTGCAAAATTCCAATCTCAAGATCATTTTAACGCCAACATATGATAAATTATGTCAAGAGCTATGGCGGCTGTAGAAATTTGGATTTGAGGTGGCAAGGGGTGTCAGGGGAAATTTGAAAATAAAGGGCTTGAAACCTGCACTTTATGCAAATTGAAGGAGTATACTATATCATTACATTTTTACATGAAGTCATTCGTGCATATTTCCACCAAAACTATTTTATTCTTGCGCCTAACATGTCTTACAACCCTTCCCCCCCCCCCCCTTTGTTTTTTTTTAAACGCCACTGGTCCAGAGACACTCATGATCATGATCATTTCCCTGCTAAAATATAAAGTGAAGTGGCGATAGTATGTAATTCAAATGTACCTATTTTCTCAAGAAAAGGAAGTGAAATTTCAATTCCAAAAGTTGCGCACTATAAACTGACAAAGCATGGCAAAACATGTTGTATCAAGTTTCTATATAAAATAACTGCTCCCGTTACGAGGGTTCCAAAAAGGAAGAGGAAAAAATATATTTATTTATTAAAAGCTTAGGGATAAACTTCCTTAAGTTAAGTAGATGATATTCAACAGAGACTATCGAAACAGACAACTTTCGAAATGGTTGACAGTGGCTATCAGAGCTACAAAAAGATTTGGTGGACTCGGATTTTGGTTGCTGCCAATGTGATGGCATCTTCTATATTTTTAGGATCAACGACATTAGCAACCTTCATCACTTGGAAGTGGATTCATCCGTATTTTTATCATGAAAAATATTGGCTACTGAACATACACAGGAGTATTGTGGTTGTTTTATTTGCTACTGTTATCGGACATTATGTTTTCTGTATAATGATTGATACGAGCACGCTTAAACACGCATCAGGGACCAATCATTGTAGTCTTTGTGACAAGCCAAGGCCACTACGATCTCATCATTGTAAACTATGTGGAGTTTGTATTTTAAGAAGAGATCATCATTGTTTTTTTATGACAAAATGCATAGGTGAAAAAAATCATAAATATTTCGTCATGTTCTGTTTAAATATGGCGATTGGTGCATTTTACTCCGTTATATTAACGATCAAATATCTTGTGGCTGTGTATTCGATACAATTTTATGGTCCTCAAACATTTTTCACGCTTCTGTATGGATTTATTGTATCAATATGTAAAGGTGTTGTACCAAGTATTGAATTATTGACACTTATATACTTATTATATATGTCGCTAATCATGGGATTATTTTGTAGTGCATTATTTATGTGGCAGATAATGATTTCGGCCTCGGGACAGACATCTTACGAGGCCTGGACAGGCATTAACCCTCCAAAAAAAGTCCGGAAAATGAGCGGTTACAAAAATCTTACTTGTCTCATGGGCACTGGAGGAATATTAGCTGCAGTTTTACCTATACCTTTCCATATTTTATTTTTTTGTACAGGAAAACGACTAAAAGTTAAATGACAAAAGTAACTGAAATAAATAAATAAATACATGTAATATAATCAAAGACTCATTATTTTAACCCGACACCCTGATATCTTTTTAAAATGGATATCTTTCTATATTATGTATAGATCACACGATATTCAATAGGACAAAAACGAAACGCTTCTAGCGGAGAAACCTCGCCATTTGATTAACGGACAATTTCTTTTTCAATTTACTATATACGAATTGGCCGCAGCGGATTGGAGGCGAACGGGGCAAATATGGTTTTGAAACGACCACCAAATTTTAGCAGTTTCATTTTTGTCAAAGGTGTATTTTAAATCTACCCATCCCTTCCGTTGTCTTATTTTATCATGGATTGCGATAAAATCTATTCTGTTCATGATAAATAGTCCAAGACCCAGACAGTGACTGTACCACTGAAAATATTTACTATACGATCTTTTGGAGTATTGTGCTGGAGCTTATATACCATTTAACAACTAGAACATTTGAGAAACCTTTCAATATTTCACTTGACTTTAAAATATGGGTTCCCTTATTTTCATTTATGAAAATGGAAGTACTAATACTTATGAATAGAAAGTAGGGGTGTTCTAATCATTTGGGAAAATACCAGTTTGTCTCACATGTCCATAATTAATTAATAATTAGCTAAATTAGAAGAGAATTACCAGTTTCCTTAAAGAATAGTTTCCTTAATTTGACAATAAAAATAAGGAAACCCCTCTTTAAATGTTCCGGTTCACAATCATGCGCCAGATTCTGGAGCTAGAACTGTGCAAAGCTGAAAGTGTCCTTTCCAGCCCCTATACATCTTGGTATAAATTGACAGCCGGGAAGGCTACCGTAGGCTAATGTTACGTGATGAGCACTTTGAAACATGTGCAACTTGGAAACCGTCTATTAGGGTTTTACGTGAAATGAAATTCTAATTAAAAGGTTTGTGGCGAAAAGCACGGGAATTATTTTGAAATACTAATTACAGATCCTTAATACCACATGGAATCTAACATATTAATATCTAATACCATCTGTTAATGACGTACAGGAGAATATAATTATTAAATACTCATTATAATATCCAATTCCTTTCTCTTCAACTATTACGATAAATATTGATACATTGTTCACCAGCTGTTCTATAATGTTACGACCAAGCACACCAATTCCATGTCTGATTCTGTTACGTCATAATATATTACCTAATAATCTTCTCATTAATTGCTCATTAGATAGTATATAGACCAAATATAATCTATAGCAATTAGTTTATCAAACTTCTATTTTCTTTAGCTTACGACTTCGGATAATGTCATTATTCAAGCTTTCATTTAAAGATTAAATCCCTCGTGGTCTCGGGTATTATACCTTATAACCTAAACTACACCTGTTTCCCCTGAAATACAGAGGGACACGAGCAATGATAATTTTCGCAGTAGGAGATATTCTTTTTCCAAAAAATTAATTCAGTAATTCAAATTTCGATATTTCTAAAACCCTATAAATGGCTCTGATAGGCCTACTATAGGCTTTTCAAACATTTATTTCCCAATACCGTATATCGAATGAATGTATTCTATATAGCATATTTTATTATGATAATAACTAAATCAAACCGTTCGGAGTTGCCAGAGAATTATCGACACCAAAACTTTTACGACTTCTATAGCGATGATGTCGCAATTTCAGTCCTCTTTACGATAATTTTGATACTTTTCTACAACACTTGTTTTGTAAACAAAACGTAAAAGAAAAAAAAATCAAGAACTCCAATATTTCTTTAATTTCTAGAACTTTATCAGAAATTGAAAAGTAAGAATATACAAACATGGTGTGTGAAAAATGTGAGTTTCTCAGACTATCACAAACTTCGTTTTAGAGAGTGTATGTAGCCTACTGCAGTACTGGTCACATTTCCAAGTTTGATCCAAGATCCAACTAACTACCCAATCAGCTAATCAGATTCAGATCCATCTCCAGTCTGTCTTCGCCAATCATTGGTTTATCGAATTTTCCAATGTTAGCAAATTTCATTCTCTACAGAGACAGGGTCACCATTCATTTGACCAATTGACCAATCTCTCTATGTGGACGTATAGTGTCGGCACCCCCTTCTGTCCGTCCGTCAACATTTGCTTGTAAATGCTTGTAGTTTTTTTGATGGAATCAAATGAAATTCGGTATGTGTATACATATTCATAAAACGAAGATCAAGTTTGAATTTGAGCTATTTTCGACCGTTAGAAGCAGAGTTATTGCCCTTGCCCCAAAATCTTGCAGTGGTGGGCGTATATGGCTGTGGTCCACTATCTTATCTTTTGAAGCTAATCAGTAATAATAGTGTCACAACTCATCACAATTTGAGCCTTCAAATGCAAGGTGGTTAGAATTATCAGTGTTTAAAAGTTAAAATGTTGATTCATCTGTTTTAAGACTCTACCATATATAGAAAAGACATAGGTAGAAATTTCTAGTTTGAGGTATATTTGAAGGGATTGTGTGATTTTTGTGCAGTTCAACTTGTTCAAGTACTTCCAAATCTATTTACATATATTCAAGATTCAAATCAACTCCTGCTAATGGCGAACCATAGTCTTAAACATAATATTTGAATTGCCTGATTATGTAATAAATAAACACTAGTACCAGGAGTTACTCATCGCCTTCCATCGCCTAATTAATAAATAATGTAATATCTGTCTTTTCAGGTCAAAAGAAATTGGGGAAAGTCATTACACCAGACCCATGGAAATCAGGAGCCAGAAACACAACAGGTATAACTTCAGAGCTGTCTCTACAAGGCCTTAGATATTAGTAATAGGAGATGTGATAGTCATTGATTTTCAAATATATTGCTGTCCCAAATTTCAACAGGTAGTATCTCAGCTGTTGTTAAACTGATCTCTTTAAAAATTCTCACAGATATACTTCAAGATGCCTTTGTCCAACTCTGAAAATATAAAAGTCATCGCATAAAAATTGTGCAAGTACTACCCCGAACAAAATAGCATGTAAAACAAATGCAATATCAAGGCAACTTACCTATTTTAACCTATGTTCAATGTGCCTTCCATCTTCAGTTCAGATAGGGAAACCAACAGCTGAGATACTACCTGTCAAGGTTTGGGATGTTTATTTAGGACACCCTATATAGGCAGTCATGAATAAATTGTTTTATATTATACCTATATATGCATAAAAATTTGCACGATATCCTAATTAAGTTTTAATTGTTTTCCTGTCGCCTGATTTTAAATGTGATGGTTGTAACATTTGTTAACAAAGCCTTTTTCTGTATTAGGTCTCACTTTTTCTGTTAAAACTCTTAGCCCTATTTGCAGGACCCAACAGAAGATTACAATAGGACAAGAGCCAGACTGCAAATTCTAAACATCTCCGCCTTCATTGTTCTTATAAGTCTCCCATAACACACATATTGTTTAACCTGGGGAAATTAGTGGATGATTGGGAAAATATACCAGCACTATCAATTTAATGTGCCATTCCATCTTCGTGCACAAAACAGCTTTCAGGTACTGTTTACCTATAATGGATGATTTACACATCTGAAATCAAATATTAAAATAATTATATTGCGTATTTGTAGAAGGGGGTGGCAGAAAAGTAAATGAGAATAAAGCATTATCTGGAAAAAAGGCAAGGTAAGAGCAATTTTGTTGTCATCACCAGTAGGCTGGTGACTCTGCTGGTGGACAAGATCATCTGGTAGATCATGCTTCAACTTATCAGCTCCAAACCTCAAGTCAATTGAGTTCCACTAAGATAAGTTTTGTGACAGGCAACAGTGTGGAGGCAGCGTATGCTCATAATTGCAGAATTATGTCACTATGAAATTGGTTTTGTTAAGAGTGGTATCCCTATCTGAGAGTGCACATAGCAGTTTTTGAAGCATTTGCCCAAATTTATCTTTAATAGTGGTAAACATAAGTTGCAATTTGTCATGTGGGTGATTATACTTTTGGACAAACACCTTGACAATTTATTACTGAATCTAAGTTTGTTTACAAGCACCTGAAAAGTTTCACAAACGATTCTTTCTACCAGCTGGTCATTTGCCAAACATCTTGGAATTGGAATAATGAGTGAAGCTGACTTGTTTAAGTTCATCAGACTTTTACATGCAGACCAAGATTAGAACCCACAACCTTGATTTGTTCGATGTAACCAAGCAAATGAATTGATGCTCTAACCAACTGGGCTACAGATCACTGCATTGATTAGAGGAGTTTTTCTATGCTATATACTCTCTTGGTAATTCTGCGTAACATTATGTGATAAATATATAATTTTACAATAAATTCCAGGTTTTCACCATATGGAGAATTTGGTAAATGTAGAATATGTAAATCATCAGTACATCAAGCAGGCTCACATTATTGTCAAGGTAAATATTTCATTGTTCAGGTGGCAGGAGTTGCTCACTCTTCCAAGGCACATGTTTCCACTCTGCAACTGGCTTTGTCAAATCAACATCTGTTTCATAATGTTCAAATATATTGTTTACTTGGTATATGTATCTATAAATCTAATGAAAATTAGTTTACAATTTTGTTTCTGTTTTTTTCTGCTATTTGCTATCTTATAAGTTTTTTATCACAGCCTTGTTCTCATGATGTTTATTTTAACCAATCAAAGTGTGTAATGTAGGAGCTGTTTCTTGATAATAAGGACAAATTGAGGATAAGCAAAGCATTTGATTAAGGTTTTAAGGTTCATGTTCTTTTGTATTTTAGGTTGTGCTTATAAGAAAGGTTAGTTTCAAAGATTTTCTGGATTCATCTGATAAATAAACCTTTGATATATTCACCATCAGACATTTTGTCATGCTATAAGATATGAAAAATGGTTTTTACCCCTATTGTGTCCCATTTAATTTCTAATAAATTTAAAAATATGATATTTTGTACACTTTTGCCACAAAATATATATTAGAAGACCCTAGATCAATTTTGGGTAGAACCATTTCTGATGCTCCCTGGGCAGCTAATGGGCTTCCACAGAACTGTTGCTTTGAACCACAAAGTAGGGTTTGAAATTAGATCAAGTTTAATTTACTTAAAATCAGACTATACTTGTGTTTCATTTTTCTATTAGAGGGATTGTAAATAAAATAATTAAAGTTAAAGAAATTGTAAAGAGGTTTTCTAAACTTTTTATGTGTATTAGGGACACTGATGGCATCAATTTGCACCATTCCAATTTTCATTCAGATGTCTGTGGTTCTTGCAATTCCACTAAAACCAACTTGTTTAATGATGACTAGATTTTAATCTATTCAATATTTCAGGTATATGTGCTATGTGTGGAAAGAAGATCATAGAGACCAAAAATTACAGACAAACATCAGTGTGATGTGATAGGGCAACTAATGTGTAATTGATTGTCTTGAAAATTCTCAGATTCTCAGCAATATTTTTGACATCTTCTTACTGTAGAATAATGATAGCCATTGTCTCTTCAGCATTCTATTCTATGGTATTTCACTGCGATAGGTAAACCTTGTAGGCCTAGGCCTATCACACCATGGCCCTCTTGCCAGTGTCCATTGACATTTATATGGTTTGTGTTGTAAATAAGAACACATTAAGCTAATGACTTAATAATAGGACACATTTTATAGGTTGAATTCAGTACAGCACAAGGCGAAAGTTCTGAACGATAAGTCCCTGACATGCCTACCTACTGGAACACTTTTTGGTTTTGCACTCGGCCATAATCAAAAGTCTACTAGACAAATGCTGGTTATTTGGTCCAGATAAAAAGAAAATTGATGTATCACTGACCCAATGAATAATATGGTAATTTGTATATTGTGTATATAGCCAGAGATATTGTTAAAATTAAACGTTTACATGAAGAAAAAAAAAAATTAAAAAAAGTCTTATTTGTGATTTGATTAAACTCAGATGGCCTTACTTTACTCATAAACCTTTAATCCTAATATTCATATTGGAAACTCAACCCCAGATGGAAAGGATTGGATGGTTAATCTATTATATTTGAAAATTTTACATGGTCCCTTGTGATTGAAAGATTCAGTTTGTTACTTTACTTTTTGAATTAGCCTTTGTAGTCTAAGGGAGACAACTCATTATTTAAAAAACCGTATTTTATGGTTCAGCATCAATTTGACAGAAAGTGTTCAGATTTAATGAAAGTATAGATTATGTAAGTCATAGTCCATATATTTTCTACTAATTATTAAGTTCACTAAGTTAAATTTGTTGAAATATCTTACAATAACTGAACAGACGAAACAGAAAATAACAATGGGTTATCTTTCCTTTATGTATAGATGACGCCACTGCGCACCTGCTACATGAATGGTTTGAAAGAAATCAGCGCCAAGTTTGATTAGGCCTATAATAGTTTTGTTAGATTTTAACAACATGTCGACTACAAGGAGATCAAAACGAAAAGACAAACGGGGTGGTGAAAGCTCTACACTTTCTGGTATTATTGAATATTTTTATATTACCGCATCTATTAGAAAATGCCCTTATTTCAGACTAGATTAGGCTTTAAATAATAAGAGGAAGTTTTCTGTCATTTTATTTACTCATCGAATTATTCATTCTCATTTTCACCATTTATTTCTAAATTTTTGTGTTGAAATATATCAACTTTAAGATACTAAAATAGTGCTGAAACCCTTAGAAGATTGTATTTGGGTTGATTCTATGAAAAAAAATATCTTTTAGATGGGAATTTTTAGTCCGAAATGTAGGTCAATATCTCAGAAAGGAAGGAAGGGAGGAAGAAGCAGACTTGAAGCGTGTTCTTTTCTTATTTGAAATCTCTAAACCTCATATTTATATGCCTTTGGACCTGAAGACAAATAGAATTTGTTAATGAGAGATTCTCAATTCTGAGCTCAGTTGTAGACATAAGCCTAATAATGATAACTACAAATTCCGCACTCATCAAAGAATGGCACTTGAACACTTGTGGCCAAGTATGAACTCAATTACTCTTAGACCACAGTTTTGCAATGTGTACAGTGAGTAGAGTCAGCCCATCATGAATTTTCTTTTTATTTCACGTTTCTGAAATTTTGGACATCATTTAAAAGTTTTGTTGACAGATAACAATTGTGTGTATGGGACTACAGATGTATTCATATTGCTAAATCCAAATGAGATTATGAGTAAACCATAGTGGAATTGTTTGCTGACCCTATGCCAGCTAGTACTTATCTTAAATAAGTTCCACAAAACAGTTTGTATGATAATCTTTAATCTTTTTATAGGTACAGGAAGTCTGGTGTCAAGTGATTCTGATACACCATTAAATAGAACAAGACACAGAAAATCTGGAAGGTTGATGGTAATGTAACTTTTTATAGTTATAGCAAAATATTCTAATTCAAGAAAAGTTCACTAATAGTGTTTGTGAAAATCCTGGCTTTCTTCTATTTACAATACAAAGTCTGGAACAGAAAAAAGACACGATGTGAATGAGGTCTATGGAATATTTTCTATCAACTGATAGATTTTTAAGGAGGTGTTTAACAAAAGAAATTTGAGATTTGATGGCTTTGACAGCTGAATCTTTTTTAAATATTTTATGACGGATACACCCATAAAAATCCAAATTAAATTCCAAACTTTTTTGTTGCTGATTGATAAATGTTAATTTATCAACTTTATTTTTCAGAAAAAGAAACTTAGAAAATGTGAGGTAAGTTTACTTTTTTCGGTTTTGTAAGTAGATATCTGTTGTCACAAACAAACATAACTTTTAATATTCATCATCTTTTATGAAGGAATTGTAATATTGTGTGATTTACCTAGGGTTAAATATAAGATAAGTGTCTTTTCATATTGTATAAGGTTTTCTCTTATAGAAACACTGGCCTAGGTAACAAGTAGGGGATGTGGATATTAACATTGGAATACATCTATTTGATAAGAAATTACCTACTTCTGGAGAGATTTATAAGACAAAACAAATAATTCAGAAATGCAAAGCGATTGTTTCAGGGAGTTAATGAAAGGGGATCTAATCTACCAAGGACAAGAACATTACTCAGATTTTTATTCCTATTGTAAGCAGACACTAAACGTTAGTATAGATGTTAGGGATGTGTATAAGTCATTAAATTTATTTTCTCTTTTGCAGTCTGGAGAACAAGCTTACGATGGTGATAAGGAGAATTCTTCAGAGAGTACCAGCAGTTCTACTAGTCCTATTCCTTCACCGGCTGATGAATATGATTTTGATGAAGTAGATGTTGAACCTGTTATTGAAAAACCAAAAAAGAAACCGACCACAACTAAAAACTCCAAAACACAACGCAAGAGTGAAAAAAGCTCAGTTAAAATTCCTGTGAAAAAGAACAGAATTTTAGCAAGCACTCCAATTAATAATGAAACAAATATCAATAAAGACACTGTTAAGCCTGGAGCTGGTCTCAAAAGGAAAAATGTTACCACTCCAAGTGAATTCGGTCCAAAGAAGCGAACAAAGAAATCCATTACACCTATATTGTGTGTCCCTGTCACAGACAGTCCATCAGACAGAACTCAAAGTATAGGGGCAATAGTTCGCAGATCAAAAAGAAAATTTGGTGATAGTGTGAATTTGACTCCTGCAATACCTAAGGGTGATCTGAAAGTAGGAAATGAGAGTGACAAAGCTGATAGTGGTATGTTTGTATCACCTCCCCCACGAAAATTATTACGTTTAACAGCCAAAGACACTTCAACTCCCAGTGATCAATCCAAATCAGATTCAAATTATAACACAGATATTAAGATGGGACTAGATGAAACCGTTTCAATTTTATTTTCCCCGGTTGAGAAAGTTTTTACACCAAGTCCTACCTCAGATTATGGATCTCTAGTGAGTTCACTATCTCAGTTCTCACTAGAACAACATGACATACCTAAACCAATATTTGAAATTGAAAATCCAGAACCAGGTAATGATATTGCATATGAGTACTTAAAAAGGGATTGTAGGGGGTTTTCTTAAAATCCTATGTGTTGGCATCAATTTACACCAATCTAATTTTCAATCAAACATCTGTGGTTCTTGCATTTCCCCCAAAACTAAGCTTTTCATGATGTCACTTATCAAAAAATATGCTTTATCACATAACACCCTCTGCAGTTAGTGACGTCATCAAACACGTAGTTTTAGTTAATGTGACAGTCTTAGTTCAATCAAAATAATTTATTAGGTTACTACATAGTTTGAAAATTAGATTGTGACTTCATTCAGAAACTCTATAGTCGTTATACGTTATATTAGCAGTGATGACAAAAAAAAAAACTTTACCTCAGGAAATACAAATTTTGCTGTATGCATGGTTGTTTGTCTTAATCGATCTAATCTGGAACAGAAAAAAGGCGAATATAAAAACTTTACATTTCATATTTATATTTGATATTTACATTTCATATTTTGTATTTTATGATTATATAATCTTTTTGAAATATTTCAGAATTAAAGCTAAATAAAAGTATAAATAAAGGTTATAAAGGAGCTAAATTGAAAGTAAAGAAATCTAAAAATAGAGTTTCAGTAAGTTACAATTGTGATTTAGATATATGAAACTAGCATTGAAAAAGTTTTCAAGTTATGTTAGATAACTGTTTGACTTCCGCTAGTTCAGACACTTGCTTGCTAAACAGGATCTGATCATAAATACAGTATTGGCAGAAAAAACTGAAACATAACATCCACATCTGCATTATAGATGTACAGAATTAGTGGAACACATAGGCATTTGAGGACTATGTCAGATCAATATTGTTTTTTTTTTTAAAACTTGAAATAATCATCTCACCAAATTATTTTGCAGTCTTTTATTGAACATTTTGTCTTAAAGCGTGATATTTTAAGTCAATTTGTGTTGTATCTTTATTTACAGGTTTCAAAAGTAGATGCTTGGGCAGAAAAAGTCAATGGAGACTTTGATGAGATTGAAAAATTTGAATTGAGTATAGAAGGATAGACTGTATCATTTGGTTTATGGTTCACAACGATGTGATCTGGTTTTGGCTCCAGTAAAAAGTCTCATGTGTTGAACTATTTTAATGTGTAGATGTGACTCATTATGTTGACTATGTGTTGATGTGACTCATTATGTTGACTATGTGTTGATGCGACTCATTATGTTGACTATGTGTTGATGCGACTCATTATGTTATCTTAATGTGTTGATCTGACTAATTATGTTGGGTTCAGACTTGCATTTCTTGTTATCATATCAAAGCAATGGAGCAGGAACTTCAATAGTCAAATAAAGGATCTTTCATTTCATTATATTTTATCTCTACTTCTTAAAAGTATTAAAGGGGCATTCTGCTTTTTTTGTAAAACATTTTCATTATCAAAAACATGTTCAATTATACCGGAATATATTTCTAAAGTAGACTATTTATATCCATGTATCTACTTAATGAAAGTGTATTTGTTTTAAAAGTGTTAATTGAAAATAGAGAATACTAATTATTAATACAGAAGTTTGACCTAGTTTTGGTGTTTGGCTTTATACTTGCTTGTTACATTTAGTTGAAACCTTTAGAACACGTAGGAGACATATTTCTCGACAATTATTAGTTTTTTTACAGTAGTTTTCTAACAGCTTGCAAAAAGCATAACAAACTTTAAAAGGTTACGTAACACTTTACATAATGTTTTGGCATAAAAAAATAAACGACTGGATTATTTTAGTTCAGGTATGGTATGGGATACATTTGTATAGATTTTGGTGTATAGTTTTTACAAGTTTTAGCAAAGAAATTTCTTGACCAACAAAACAGTGGAATTTTCCTTTAAGTGATTTCTTTAACTGGCAAAGCATCAAATTTCATTCGATAATTTCAAACCAGACAAAAACTTTAAGGAAAGTTTGGAACAAGTGATGGACATCTTCTTGATTCAATGTGCTGATCATGTTCAATAGGTTGATTTGGTTCAATGTGCTGATCATGTTTAATAGGTTGATTTGGCTCAATGTGCTGATCATGTTCAATAGGTTGATTTGGTTCAATGTGCTGATCATGTTGAATTGGTTGATTTGGCTCAATGTGCTGATCATGTTCAATAGGTTGATTTGGTTCAATGTGCTGATCATGTTCAATAGGTTGATTTGGTTAAATGTGCTGATCATGTTCAATAGGTTGATTTGCTTCAATGTGCTGATCATGTTCAATGGGTTGATTTGGTTCATTGTGCTGATCATGTTGAATAGGTTGATTTGGTTCAATGTGCTGATCATGTTCAATAGGTTGATTTGGTTCAATGTGCTGATCATGTTCAATAGGTTGATTTGGTTCAATGTGCTGATCATGTTCAATAGGTTGATTTGGTTAAATATACTGACCAGGTTCAACAATGTGTTTCTGTATTTTTATCTGGTTCAAGATTTTGGTGATTTTTAATTATTAGTGTTAATCTGCTTGAAGTGAATCTATTTCATGATTATGTTAATTTAACTTATAAGGTATATCACTGAATTAAATAACTTACCAATCCTTTTTGTGTACACACCTCTTATTGTCCATACACAACAAAATTTTCTAGACTGTAGACCACTAGCAAAGAATTCATAGCAAGTTTTAAAATCTTGAATTAAATACTCTTCTGTGAAAAGTGTATTTTATATTTATGATGTTTAAATTGATGTACATGCATTATATAGATATACCAGTACAAAGTTGTTTTAATTTTTACTCTTTCAAATATAATTTGAGTATCCACTATTAGGAATGATATGTATGTCCCCACATGAAATCTGCAGTGGCACTGGAAACCCAGTATGTTGTGTCATTGTGCAATGCAGAAAGTTACATTGATTTTTCAATGCAAAAAAATTGTATTTATGTGGAAAAGTCAGAGACCAGGAATCGCTTATGTAGGTCTGTCAAAATGAATAACTTATACCTTGTTCCATACCTCTCGTGATTATCATGTTCAGGGTCAATGTTGTGAATTTCCGTTCAGTTTTGTGTTTCTCATGTATTTACCACTTTGGAAAGTCGTGAAAATGGAGACAATTTTTCGACTTCTCTAACTTTCACCATGACCTTCATGTAAAAATAGCAAATATTATCAAGGCCAGCTAATTTTTTTACATTACCCTGCTCACTTCCCTACAAGGCATGTCTGGACGACTTTCGATCAAACATATCTCTAGACAACTCCCGCTTTTGTTGCAGACCTGTCGTTCAACAACACACAATTTTTTGAGCAAAAAAAAAAAAGGAAAATGGGTGTCAGCCTTTAGTTAGAAAGTTGTTGTTTGCAAGGAAGTCGTAAACACCATTTTCACAGCAGGTATGGAACGAGGCATAGCAACTTCCCAAATTTGTGAAAGTGTATATAATCTGAATAATACACCTACATGAAGTTTTGGAAGAGCAAGTCAAATTAAAGGGCCCTTCAGTTGTATACTTTGGTCGATCAAATATATTTGTGCACAAGTAGTTGACTTTATTTAAGGAAGTTCAGTTCATACTAACATTGGTCTGGATATTTCCTGATATACTAAATAATAAAGTGAACTACATGTATTTGTTTAGAATCTTCCAATATGTTTACAGATATTTCTTGATGACAAAAAGACAAGAAAATTTGATACAAATGATTTAATAGAATTATACAAACATGAAAATACACAATGAACTATTCCCATTCACACTACATTAAGATTTGATATTGTCACCCAACAACAATTCCACTGGTTTTAACTTAAAATAGCTTTCCAACATGAGATATCTGTCAAAAACTTAAACCTTTACTTTCATTGGTTTCATTGCCACACCAGGGCCTCTTAAAAAAAAAAGTTCATATATGTGTTTAAGCCTCAAATGTATTAGATAATTATACTTGAAGAGATTGTAATGAGGTTTTCTAAATATTTTATGTGTATCAAAGACACTGATAGCATCAATTTGCACAATTCCAAATTCAATCATACATCTGGTTCCTGCTAAACTTAGTGTTTGATGATGTCACTTATTGCGAAGGGCCTTATGTGATAAAAGCACATTTTGCAATAAGTGACGTTATCAAACAATTTTCCGAAACAGTGCAAATTGATGCTATCAGTGTCCATGTTACAGAAAACCTCTAACCCTTTAAGAAAAACTGACCATTTTTTGAGAAATAAACTGCAGTTACTCAACCACTTTAGCACATATAATGATAATTCCATATATAAGCTTACATGTTGCAGCATCATGAAGCCAAATAATATAAAAGCAAGAAAATCTTTTACCTCTACCACATCAAAATCTCAATATGTAATAGATTTCCATGATCCTTGCATGAAAGTAAACAAAATTAAAATAACTAAAACATGAAATGATGAACTTTCATTCAGTCTTTTAGAAAACATTTGTCCATAGCTTTTATCATCTTGAAATATTTGCAAGCTGATGACATCAATAGGTGTACAAAATCCTTGTCACTACTTGACAAAACTTTCAGATCCACTTGTGGTCTTTTCATTTAGCAGCCTGTTTCCTCAACATACTATATATTCCTTGTTTTACCCATTCTTTATTGTGGGGAACATACAATCCAGATGATTTCTGTTGCCTAAAAAATTAAACAGTGATCATGAATATTACATAGTTTGAAATAGTGTGGTAATCATTTAACACCCCTGGTTTTAGTATGAACTCTTCCAAACATGTAGTGCAATCAATACCTTTTATTTAAAATGGTTCATTTATAAATTCATGGTTTTTTTTTTGTACTTCAAGCCTAGATAAGGTTACTTTCTATATTCATCCATGCACACATTTTGAAAGGTTACATTGGGCTTACTGGTGAATTATTAGCATCCAAAAAGGTAAACAAAACCTTAAAAGATTAATATGTTATTTCATTACATCATGAAATCATCAGTTAACAAGGGCTGGTAATTTTCATTTTTAAGAATTGCAGCATGGGTCAACAAAGGTTAAAACACTGCAATATTGCTACAGGAATCAGTTAACAGCATTTCAACTAGTCTCTAGACATTGACTGACATTTCTTAACTAGGGCGGGGTAAAATGATCGAAATAATCGATTATCGTCGCTACAAATTCATAATTTTGATTATCAAATTTCTTAATTGATTATATGTCAAAGATACACTTTTTCCCATGTCCCCTGCTAACAAGTAGTAATCTCTTCAGTACATAACTTACCCACAATAAACTATAATAACTGATCAAAGCAAGAATATGCAAAAATAAACCATAAAATTTTGAATTTTGGCATGTTTTTAATTAAGCATTGAGAAGGATTCCCCATTATTAATCGATTATTGATCGATAGCCTGCCATCAATAATCGATCTCAATTTGGTAATCGATACCCAGCCATACTGACTCTAAAACATTCATTTTGTTTGTTAAAAAATAAAGATATAACACTATATTAATACTTACACTAAACAACTTAAGTCTGCTAACTGTTCAATAAATTCAAACAACTGACTGATATCATAGGTTATACTCTGTTGATCTGGGTTTAATCTCTTTAAATGTTCTTCAAATATCTTACATACACCTTAAAAATATTTACAAATCAGTGACCTTTAAGGCTTGAGATTAATTAGGCTTAAGTTATCCAAGAAAGCTTGATTCTCAGTTTTCAAAATAAATTGCAAGCTTGCAAATCAAACAATGCCAAATGTCCTCGTGCAACACTCTCTCGATCTACAACTGTCAAGTCCTATCTATAACTGACATGTTCTGAGCTAATGTGAATGCCAACTTTCTATACAAGATTTCAATATGACAAAAAGCAAACAATACATGTAATTGATTCTTAAAGGAATATTATGTCTTAGAATGAACATAAAATTTGAGAATTTTAAACTTGGCCAATAAGAGCATATATTCATCAGTAGATATACCTGGTGTCATAAATAACATAACAGGATCCTTATATAATCTGATAAATCCAAAAATCTTAGTAATTATCCATAAATATGCAATTAACTATTGATAACTAATATGAAGATTAAGCCTTTTTCAATAATTACTTAGTTTTATGAATTTTTATGATTTTCCAGGGATTCAATTGTAACTTTTTGACACCAGGTAAGTTCACTGGTAAATATATACTCATATTGACCATTCTTGAGAACTTAAATTTCATGTTCATTCTAAGACGTAATATCACTTTAAGACAGAATAGTTTAAGTTATTGCTTTCAAAACAGCAAAAGTAAATAGATTCCCCAAGACAGAACAGTTATTGCTATTATTTCAGCACAAGTTAACAGAAAAGTCAAAAGTAAGGAGTTGAGTAAGCTATGATTTACTTACCTTCTAAACATTCATTTAAGGATTCATAATCTGAATAAGTTCTAGTATCTGGTCGGGAATGAGGTTGAACTAATAAGATTGTATGAGACTGAAATTATAATAAAATAACAATCACTAACTGGCTTTATTTCAAGAATCTTTTGTAATTTTTTAGAAGTTAACATTGAATAAAATCACCATTTCCAGTTTCCTTTCAAAAGATTTCAGCTAAAAATGTCTAAAAATTTTGCTGGAAATTAACATCTCTAGATCTATAAGAACAAATTTCAAATTTCAAATGTGTGCTTTTAGCCCCTTTATTATATTTTATCACTGTGAAGTCAATTTATGACTAGCAGTGTTGTTTTAAAGTTGATTATTCTGATTCTTATAAAAATAATCTGAAAATTTCAAATTTTGGATAAAATTGCAAAAAGGGTGTAGTGATAGGCCTAATTAATTACTGATACTAAAATAAATACTGAATACAGTCTTCGTAAATTCCATATTAAATTGAATTTTACGGATTAGATCTATGAGAATTTCAATATTATGGTATTGTTAGTATTCAAATGTATTTACATTGATAAAATAAAAAATACAAACAAACATAAGCACATATTATTCATCTCTGTGGAATTTGCTTATTATTATAGCAGAGCCAGAGGTTGAGGACCATTTTAAGTCAAAACTTTTCATTTAATATATTTCAATTTATTTTAAGAATTTAAGTACTCTTTTAAAGCTGGTATTCATTCAAATTATCTTTTGAAATTCGACTCACTAATGAATTTGTGATGACAGCAGGCCCTATCTATGCCCAGCCAGGACCTACTACTTGAGTCAGTGCCACAGTCAATTACACTTGCAGTGAGTGGGACAGTGGAATGGAGACTATCAAAAATTCAACTGCAAACATAAACATGGTTTATGCATTTATTGTAGTCAAAAGTACGATTGAGAATTGGTTGAAAAAAAAAATTTTCATTTAAGAACTTCAACGATGAATTACATACCATGTTTGAGAATTTCGTTACGTGGATCAATCTCTTTCCTTTACAACGTGAACTTTTAGCAGTCAATAACAAATATGGCGTTTCTCGTTTTCTCACGCGAGAACATATATAAAAATCTTTATTTTACTTTATACGGGTCTAGATTTTTTTGATCAATATTTCAATTGAATTTTCTTATTGAAATGTAACATCTACAATATTAATTTATGTTTAGAAAGTTCATAAAAGATCAAAATCAAGAATTTTGTTTCTATTTCGTAACCGATTCTCAAACAGTCGTATCGACTCCAACCATAGAACATAATAATAATACATTCTGGGCCTTAATTTCTTGACAATAGTCCTTTGTTGGGCCTATTTCGAAATGTCCATTTTTAATGATATTTTTGTGTGGCTTCTTTTCAATTTCAACTGTATTACTGTGCTAAGAGATTTTTAAACATTATCAAAGTGAAGGAGGGAAGAGAGACTTGCGTTTGGTTAGTTTTTTTTTTTTTTTGTAACTGGTTACGCACTTGACGTCATATTGGGTACACTCTTGTATAATGACATGCGCTGTCAATAATTTAAAGTAATAACAACATGGCAAGTACGTGTACTCTGTAGTAAAATTGAACAGACTTTAATTGGTTATTTTTACAAAGCCTGTCACAATGGATGATATTGTGACATTGATATTGTTATCACTGGCTATGCTAGTCGGTTGTTACCTTTCAGGTATCATTCCATTAGCATTTACTCTGTCAGAGGTGAGTTTGTTTGGAACTGTTAGGCCTAATCCTAATCTTCAAGGAAATGTCATAGTAAAAATGTATGTTATTTAAATATCCAAAAGTAGGCAAAAGACAATTACCTAGCTAACATCCATTTTCTTATTGCTATCTGTCCTGACTGACAAAGCTGATCATATATTTATACATAGCTTTGCACAAGGCGATGGTTCAGATTCAATTTAGACTTTTGCCTAAGATTCAATTTAGACTTTTGCCTAAGATCTCATATTATAATCTCGCTCTGCTTGTTAAACTGTTACCGATCAGATGATAACAGAATTGTAATGTATAACATTTTTCCATGCTTGCAAATGTTAGTTACAGGCCTATTTTATGATTTGATTTTTTGATATGGTAACACCTGGCATGTATACATGAATGTTGACAAAGTCTGTTTAATTGCCACCATAAATGGCAAAAATGTGTTTCTTTTTTTTTACCATGGCAAAGCAATAAAGTTTATTTTAATCTTGGAAATTACCATCTAGATATATGATGTACTCTTTTAAGCTAAAAAATTCCCGTTTCCTAGACTGAAGTATATTTGGTCACAAACAATGGCGGTTCTGATCTGTCCCTTTAAGCCTATGACCATGTATTCAATAAGTTTCCTTGAAGAGATATTATTAATAGATAGTTTATAAGACTTCTCTGCTTCTCTGCAATCATCACTCTTTGGAAAAAGTCTCCAACACTTTGAACACAAGAAAAGTCAGACCAAATTTTTTAAAAAGACAGCTTTGACCCGAATAAGTAAACTCGGATCACTTTTGTTTAAGACTTGGACCAATGTTAAATACAACTCAGACCAACTTTCAAAGACAACTCGGACCACAATGTTAACAACCACTCTTTTTTATTAGAACTTTGGATGTCACTATTTGAAGTGATTGCAGGTGGTATCTATCTCCAGCAACAGGAAAGAGTATCAGTATATATTTAAATTTCATTTTGCAGAAAATATGTAATTTAAAACAGTTTTAACTTTGAACATCATCTTTTAAATGGGTTTAACTCACAATATAAAAATACTAAATTGTGAACAGTCACTTCAAATATAGCTTGACATCATTAAGTCATGTGAATAAACATGGGGTCTAGATATAATTTTTCTAAGGTGTTTTGATTTATTGTAATTTGTATGCCTTTTTTTGTCCACTTACAATTTTGGAGATTATAACTTAAGGTGCATGCAACAAGCGGTCTGAACTCAAGATTTTCGTCGCCTATTAGAGTCTTAAGTAAAATATCGCTTGTGCCCCTGCTTATACGACAAGATTATCGCCTCTTTGACAGGATTTGTAACAACAAACAAGTTTGATAATTGTCTCCAGTTCATTGTGGTTTAAACAATATTTTATTTCTATATTAAATGAAATTTTTTACAGAAAATAAGTAAGGTTTCGGAAACAAGCCGAAGCCTATGCTAATCCGGCACCAGTTCATTAACCTGTGACTATTTATGAAATGTAGAGAGAGAAGCATGATTTGTAAATTTTGTTTTCAACAAAGGAAGATATAAGACAAAGAAATAAGATTTAGAAACAATCATTATAATAGTGCATCTGACTCTAAAATAGTGGATTAAAATTTAATTGATTGAAATGAAATTAAAACCTTCATAAGATTGTAATAGTACAGTTTTTGGTGTAAGAGATAACAGCTTATGTAAAAGCTTAAGGAGACATTCAATTTTTTTGCTTAAATTTGTATAAACTATACACCAAATTCTAATGTAATGTGCCCTTAAGGGTATCTGAAAGTTTTAACTAAAACAATCCAACCGTTAATTTTTAAACGCCAAAGATATTTAAAAACATTATGTAAGGTTTTTAAATTTGTTAAGCTTTTATGAAGCTGTTAAAAACTACTGTACGGATTCGAGTAAAATAAACACCTAATTATAGAAAAATATGAATTACAATCAGCCATTATAAAGCCAAACACCAAAACTGCTTAATTAACAATTATTTCTCTCCGTTTTTAATTAACCCTATTAAAATCAATTCAGTTTGATCAAGAAGATAGTTAGATTGAGATTGATTTAGAATTCATGTTAATTTTTTTTTTCAAATTTGACAAGGCGTCCACAAAACTTATGTGTTCTTAAAAACTACCATTTAAAGGCACTGACCAAGGTCACAAATAAAGAGATCTATAAGATATAAACTTGATTGGTAAAATCGGAGGTCATCAGGTTAGGTCAAAAGGTTATTGTGTCAGACCAATGTTCAAGAGGCCTGTCTGTAGTTCCTAACTGAAATGGCTATATTAAACAAACAAAAGTTTGGTCAAGTTTTGATTAATTTATATATTTATTTAATTGAATTTTAATTAAACTGTGTTAATGTTTATCCTTATGGGCAAAGAGTTGGCAATCGAATGGGGCAGAAGAACCCTTAACATATTAATGTAGGTATAGGTTTTAATAAGTTTGCAGTTTGCGCCAATTTCATTTCGTATTGCGAAAAATTTTCCATCAGCAGAGTTAAAAATAAATGTATTGGTGAAAAAAACCTAAATAATTTGGATTTAAAAAAATAAAAATTATAAGTGAATGTCATAAATAAGGATTACTCCCTCCATTGACTTCAAACCAAGCAATGTTAAGCAAAATTGAAAAATTAGTGTACAAAAGAAATGCAATTATTGTGTTTTTGAAGGTTGCACATACTTCTTCAGTAGTAGTGCTGACACGATATATTTGTGAATCAATGGATCGCGATACAACATACCATGATATGCATATCGTATTGTGTATCGATACTCGGTGATACCTCTCATTCCATAAAAAGTGGGGATATTTATAAGTTGGTTTATGATATAACAAGTTTTTTCACTGAAATTGTTAGACAGTGGATGCTAACCACTTCTATCAACTAACTAAATATCACAGTTATAAAGTTATGAATTAGTATATATATATAGAAACTTTGAAGATAAAATGTTAATTTTTATCCCATTACCCCATATCGCAATATGTATGATATGTATGGTATCATGCCGTAGCATGTTTAACAATACTCAGCTCTATTCAGAAGTAATTTGTGATGCATAAAATACAATTGAATACATTTAATAAATTAAAGAAGAGCTTGAAATATATTTATTAATATGTTAGAACATCATTAAACAGGACAAGATTGGTTTTTACTTGAAACCTTTTTCTTGACAGATATTGTTCATAAAATTGTTTCTATTATCTTATATCGAAAAAGTGGATTACTGGATAGATAATCTTAGCTATAAATGTATCGTTAATACAGTAATTGATAAAATTGAATTGTAAATTTGATATGGAAATGACTGATGACCTACCTACAATGTATGGGTTAATGTTTCAGTTTTAGCTTACTTTATTATTTTATTACAAACTGCAATATTTAGCAATTCTTCCTGTATCATGGAATGCAGTGATTTGATTGGATTGTACTCCAGTGAATATAGCCAATATGAGTCCTCGACAGAAAGACAGTAAACATTATGACTTTTTATCTACCAGTAGCCTGTTGAGCGATCTGATTGGCTATATTAAAATAGACTAATGTACAATCCAAATGCCTATGATTCTAGAAAGTTGGCTATTGTAGTCAAGGTATAAGACAAAATTGATTATACCTTGACCTGAGTTTTCTTAAAACTAATTAACCTAAAAACTCTAACAAAATAACAGACTTATTTCAATGTAAAAAGTATGACTATATGTACAGGACTACATTGCAATCATGTGACAATTCATTGTTAAAAAAAATATATTTCATCTTGGATTTTCAGCCTTAAAATAGAACTGTTTGTCTTAGAATGTCTTTGTGTTGAAAGAAATATAATTTTTTGTATGTTTACGTTAACAAAAACTCATTTCTCTCCTAGAAGTTTAAACAAAAAAAAAGTCCCAAATATTGGCTGAAAATTGGCCTCGGTAAAAACAAATATTAAAGACATAATGTGTGCTCGTGATTATATTTTTATCAATGCAGTTAAAGACTAACATTACTATTTTGAGGCTGATATTCTAACTCTCATAAAAATAATTCGAAAAATGTTTCACTTTGCCAAGACAATAATGATTTCTATTTTTTCAGGAAAAATTAAAATTGATAACAGTATTAGGAGCAGGTTTATTAGTTGGAACAGCCCTGGCAGTTATTATTCCTGAAGGTGTACATGCTATGTATTCAGGGGGAGGTAATTTAACTTTTCATATTACTTACAAATGTTGCTCCTGGATTGGTTTTAAAAAAGGTGAGCCCAGGGAGAATATTTGAAGCTCACCCTAAGTCAACACTTCTCTTTAAAGCTGTTTTGGAACATAGTCTTTTTTGTGGCAGTGGAGTAGCTCAGTCGGTAGGCATTTTGGTGCCATGGATTTGAATCTTCCTCAAGGTAAAAAAGATTCTGATACCTGTGCCAGTGCTTCTGAGAGTTGTCACCCTCTAATACTTTCCTTAAAGGGACAGATGTGCCATTCTTTTTGACCAATCATACTTAAGTTGCAGATATGGGATTTTTTTTTTAGCTAAGCCAATCAGTAATAGTGTTCATAGGTCACCGTCAAAATTTGAGTCTTCAAATCCATGTGTCCAGAATTATCCATTTATGAATGTTAAAATAATGACCTGTCAATTTAAGATACTCTGTGATATAAGCTAAATAGAAAACACATAATATTATTAAAATAGTGAGTAAAATTCCTAATTTGGAGTATTTTTAACGGAATCATGTGATTTTCTGACATAACTTCTGAATACATACATATTTTAAAGACACAAATCAACCCCCAAAATAGCGCATCTGTCCCTTTAAGTGGCATTTAGTAATTAGGTAATGAATAACTGGACACAATTTTATGGATAACAATGACAGTTATGTATTCACTTTATAACTAATCACTTGTTTAACTATATATTCTCATTGCTCTGTTATTTTGTAAATGGAATGAAATGAATGGAGTTTTACTTCCTACTTTACTGCACTATGTGGGCTAATGGAACACTACAAGTTATTTATTAACATGATTGTTATCTATTACAGTTAACTAGTGTTATATCACTAAAGGAATCTAAAAATAAACTAAATTATTCTGTCATATTGTTATAATGATCAAATATGAAATCTATATAAATTAACATTATCTACATAACATTGACATTTATTTGAACAGATGGTTTTATTCCTTAAAGACTCTTATTCAAACAAGTTTTTATAGGTCATATTTGTTTATGGTTTCTATACATATGAAATATGCAAGAGAGTTTCTTTTAATCTCTCTGGAAGGCATTATGACTGAAATATTGTATGTACTCCTCATTTTAATTAAGCTTACATTAGGATGAATTATCATATAAAATACTCCAAAAATATCAATATCCATGTTGAGTTATTGCCCTTGTTCTACAGATCATTTGTTTTGTATTTGTGAATAATCCAGTAGGCACCATTCGTGACAGATTTTTCACAGTACTTCGTATCAGACAAAAAACTGTCCACTAAAAATGCCCTGATACATATTCATATAGCATTATTAGATTAACGATCATGTAAAATTCTTCTAGAAACTTCTGAATTTCCACTAAACTTGCTATATTTTCATACTTGCTTTCGATATTATTACATTGTGACATAAAATAAACAGATGATCATTCAGATGAAATAAAAAAAAGGGGACTTTTATGATGTAGATTGATAACTTAAGAAGGCACGAAATCCAGTCTAATTAAAATGAGACCCAAATTTTGTGTTTTTATTTATTAGTAACCTGCTTTAAGCAATTAAATTACGCTTTCTCTAGTGTTGGTGTTTTGTGACATGATCAAAAGGTATTTTTTTCTGTAGCAATAGACTAGTTTATCAAGTCCACTGAAATTGAAAATAGAAAAACACCGGATATTCCAAATTGACCCAGTTAAATTTGATTGGTTTAAGCAAACGTCGTCAGTTTAGGTCAAAACGTTAATTTGACTGATGTTCAAGACTCCGGTTGTTAGACCCTACTGTGAAGTGGCTAAACTAAAAATAAAAACTAATAAAAAAACAGAAATGAAAGTTGGGTATAATTGGAAATCATTGTTTAAAGAAAATCTAAATGGGGTTCATTCTGCAAAATTTCTCTCATTGTACATATCACCATTTAAAATGCAGAATGAATAACACTGAAATTATAGCAGCGTTTTAATTCATTTCAGGAGGCCACAGTCACCATGAACATCACGTAGAAAAACTAGCAGACAGCATTACCGGTAATAAAGAAAAAACACTCGTAGTTAAACCAGCAGAGAAACATGAACATGAACATGGACATCATCATGATATGTCAGAAGAACACAGTAAAATAGGAATAAGTTTAGTTGCTGGGTTTATATTTATGTTATTAGTTGATCAGATAGGAGGTGGACACCATCATTCATCTACAGGTACAGTGTTCTTTTCATTCTAAAAATATCAGAAGCAAAATGCAAAATATGCACTAACATACTATAAGCCCACACACGGTGAATTTCTGGCCTCTTGAGGCAGAAAATATCAAAAAGATAAATATATTCCTCACAGCCTCCCGAAGCAGAAATCTCACTAAAAATTCAGCACACACAGGGGAAACCGCTCAGCTCCCAACCTCTTGAGGCGGGCAGTTAAGCTAGTTTCTGTCGTCTGCAGCAAGGCTTTAAGAGGTTTTGTAAATTTTGCTTGTGTAAAGGGGACACTGATAGCATCATTTTGCACCATTCCAATTTTCAATCAGACATCTGTAGTTTATGCAATTCCACTAAAACTAAGTATTTGATGAATTGAGTGCTCAATAATGACCCCTTTCTGGTATGACATACATTACTCATTTAATAATTCTTAATTGTTTTTTTGTAGATGCTGAATCAGCAGGAGAAACTCTAGCTCAAAAAAGAAATAAAATAACAGCTACTATAGGTTTAGTTGTACATGCTGCAGGTAGAATTTTAAAATGATTATCAATGAAAATAGTCATCTAAAACTTTGCTTTATAAAACATAATCTACCATGAAAGTTAGGACTCTGGTCACTTCCAGACTTTCACCTTATAGTATTGTTTAAGAGATTAGGAATTGTGTTACATATAGCTGAAAGTTGAATTATTTACTTTCACATAGTGTTATTCTTAATAAATTTAGCCCAATTTTATTTAATTCATTCATACATTGAAATTCAGACTGGAATATTTTTCTGGTTCGAAAAAAATTGTATCGATATTCCTTTTTATACTCCCACACGGATGATTTGCTTGAGAGATATTGCATAAAACTCTGATATCGTGCTTTTTCACTTTTTTGGCTCGTGCTCACTCTACAGGCTACGATAAAGAGTTTGTTTTATCAAGCTGCTGGTGGGTGTATTCGCTTGCCGCAAGCCTATGTTTTAGGAATATAAGATATTTTTTTTATTGTTTAAAGTTCCATGTTTTTATATATGTATAAATATGTATTATTGAAACTTTGTAGCTGATGGTATTGCATTGGGAGCAGCTATTACACTAGCAGAAAGTCATATAACTATGGTAGTGTTTATAGCTATTATGTTACATAAGGTAATTTACTTGTTTAGATATTTGTTAGCCCACAGCCAAAAATTTGTCCGACATAAGTTTGCCTTTGGCATATTCATATCAGTCCCTTATGAGCGCACTCACATGTCTGGTTAGCCTATAGCATTAACCTGTTTCAAAAGAGCTGAATTTGAGCATATTTGATTACAGAAATACTATTTTAGGAATATACTTGTTTACAAGACAAAGTGATAGTATACATGTTTCTGTTGAACTGTTACCATTTTATTCAGATAACAAAAACCTGAGCATATAACAATATTTTTGTTGTGACCTAATAAAGATCTTTCTGCCTGAAGGCACAATTAAAAACAAACATTTCAATCACTCTTATAATATTTATTTATTGCACCATTGTATTTTCTTATATAACATCTTATTATTTTGATATTGAAAGATAAAACATGTTAACTGAATATTTTGGCTAACAGCAACAATTTGGACTCAGACCACAAATAATTCCTTAGCTGGACCCATTGAACGCATATTTTTTTTCTCCAAATTGTTGTATCTCAAAATTAGGAAGAGAGTACTATCCAAAAAATTGTTACCGTGGCAACAAGGCTCATTGCACTGCATAGCTTCAACAATAATATTTTGATGAATTTGTAATCTGGAATAATTATGTTTTAGGCACCGGCAGCATTTGGTTTAGTTTCATTTTTATTACATGCTGGTTTTGATAGATCTCGAATTAGAAAACATTTGTTATGTTTTTCTATAGCAGCTCCGTTAACAGCTTGTATAACATATTTTAGTCTTAGTAATGTAAGTCATATTTTTTTATTTTTAATGTGGACAGATTTGACCTGATAAAGATGGATACAATAGAGTTATATATAGAAACTAGAGTCTACATTGATCATGTGACTCCCATTGACTCAATGTTAAAGATTCGTGCCGTCATGGAGCGACGGCGGCCATTAAAAGTCCGGGGAGTTTTATCGTTGAATACCCGGATGTTCCGTTTGTTTACAATGGATAATCTTTTGATAGACTGAAGTTTGTTGTTCGTTTCTCTCAAACACAAATTTAAAAAAAAAACGCTTCGGTATGGTGGCCCATGAGCGCCATAGCTATTTTATTATTTTATTTATGAAAAAAATATTCTTTTTAATTTGAATTCATTTTTATTTCACTTTCATTTTGATTTTAAATTCATTTTACTTTCATTTCGTTTTTTATTTTACTTTTATTTTTATTTTACTTTCATTTCGTTTTTTATTTTACTTTCATTTCGTTTTTATTTTACTTTCATTTTGTTTTTATTTTACTTTCATTTTGTTGTTAAATTCGTTTTACTTTCATTTCGTTTTTTATTTTATTTTACTCTCATTTCGTTTTTTTATTTTACTTTCATTTCATTTCGTTTTTAAATTCATTTTACTTTCATTTCATTTTTACTTTTTATTTCACTTTTGTTTTGTTTTTAAAATCATTTTACTTTTTATTTCATTTTCGTTTTGTTTTTAAAATAATTTTACTTTTACTTTCATGAAAGTAAAATAAAAAACAAAATGAAAGTAAAATTAATTTGAAACCAAAATGAAAGTGAAATTTAAATGAATTCAAATTAAAAAGAAAGGTATTTTCATAAATAAAATAATAAAACAGTTATGGCGCTCATGGGCCACCATAGTTCATTATTTAGAGAATAAAGCTTTTTCTACCTATCTGGCTATTTCATTATATTTTCAATTATGATGAGTTGAAAGTTTTAGTGAAACTCATTATTATTAGGTCTTCCACAATAGGCATAGGCCTAGGCCTACTGTGCGAAAGAGGTTACTGGGCTTAAATGAATACAATAGGTCTCTAAATGTTATGGAAGGCCTTATAAGTTGGGTGTCAATTGACTCTGTAGCATGATAATAAACTCGCACTTTATAAAATTTTAGTCACTAAAATGGCCTAGATGTAGGCTACTGTCCCAAAAACAATACAGTTTTATTTAATTGGTGTCTCCTTGATGCCTTATTGTTCAAAATAAATCGTTCACTATATATTCGTCCATGGTGGTGTTATTTCTTTATTAGCATCGGACTTCACAGTGGGCCTATAGATGCCAAATTTGTTCAAATTACAGGTAAAGAACTGTAGACTAATTAGCGTTTACAGGAGATTTACCCTTTTGAGATGTGGTTGCCCTATTTCTCATCATAGGCTACATATCTTTAATTCATTTACACATTCATTTTAAAATTGGTATACCAGGTTTATAAATTATATCCACCTTAAGATAGCCTAGGCCTATTTGTTACAGTAAAAAAAAATACCCACCACTGACATAATCCTTACTATGGAAATGTTCACTGCAAACCACATGATGTTTACTTGGAACAAAATTTTCTCTCTGGATATTAGCAATCCATTTAGAACATAATTCTTGGTCTATTAGTGGAAGTCTAGAATTGATAACATTTCACTTATCAAAATAGTCTACATAGATCTAAATCTAGGCCTATTATTAGTTCTACACTATTTTTATAGGCTACCCGTAACTTTGGAGCCTAAAAAATAAAAAATGCCCAGATGCTACAAATTTTGTCGCCGACTAGAGTCAAGTCAAGAATTTCGCCGACTGAAACGGACACACCGGGAGACAAAAATCTCTAGCCAATCATTTTCCACCCTGTTGATAATGTGGAACATGCAGTTGAAAGGAAAATGAATCTGATTTGATGATGACGCTCTGTCTTGCAGACGATAACAGTTGGTTATTCTTCAATTCTTCTACAAGTGTTAAAATTTAGGATTAAGAGATTGAAAATTTGAAATTCTACTGTATATTGTTTTTGTTTTAATTTGTGAAATTTTATGTTTTTTTCAGCAAAGTAAAGAAACTTTAAGTGACATGCACACAACAGGAATAGCCATGTTATTTAGTGCAGGAACATTTCTTTATGTAGCCACAGTACACGTCTTACCTGAAATCTCCACCGAACATTCACATCATAAAAGTCCAGATGGAACTGTGATAGTGAGAGAACATAAAGGATTTAAAAAAATCGAACTGCTAGCCTTAGTAGTGGGTGCTATTTTACCAGTTATTTTGGCAGTGGGACATAAACATTGATTTGTTTGAAGAATTTTGTTTTGGGTTATGGTGTTAATGAATACTGGTACAAAGTTACTTCCCTTGAATCATTTAAAGGTGTGTGTACAACATAATGGAATGGGCCTGTTTGATTGGTTCTGGTCTCGAATTATGATCATTCAGCAAGGTTGTTGATTTTTAACATTTTTTGTCAGCTAGTGTGCTGTGAAAAAAGGAATTATGTTTTTTTAAATGGTGCTACTTACTACAGCAGTTTTGATTTTGTTTGATATAATATTAAAGATGGTCCATGATGAGTGAAGTAATGAATGAAACAGGCTCTGTGTACATAAACGGGTTAATGTGTGATGTACGAGGATATTATGTATATATCCCAATGTATGTGACATGTTTGTTGTCATTTTGGTATGTTATGTATCGTTATGTTGTATATTTTGTGTACTTGTACATATCAAAGTATGTCTGCTGTCCTTGCAATTTCCTTTGGTTTGTCTTATCAAGATTATTTTCATGAGAATTAGAATATCAGCTTCAAAATAGTACTGTTAGAATAAGAATGTCTAAAAACGTTATTACTGACTCGTTTTTAAAGAAGACAATTTTCATTTGAAATTTTTGACATTTTTGGTTGAAATGTCTTGAATGGTAGTTTGTTCCTTTTTATACGCCCATATCTCTATGTGGACGTATATTGTCGGCATCCCTGTCCGTCCAACCGTCGGCATTTGCTTGTAAATGCTCTAAAAACTATAGTTTTTGATGGAATCAAATGAAATTCAGTATGTGTATACATATTCATAAAACGAAGATCAAGTTCGAATTTGAGCTATTTTCGACTGTTAGAAGCAGAGTTATTGCCCTTGCCCCAAAATCTTGAATACGCTATTTCTCTCTTAGTTTTCAACCGATTTTGATGAAACTTAAAATGGATGTTTTGTTTTTACCATCTGCATGCCGTAAAGGGCGTATATGGCTGTGGTCCACTATCTTCATTGTAAATTTAAAGAAATTTATATTTTTTATCAAGGCCAAGACATTTTAAGATTATCAGTATTCACTTTATAAAATGGACAAATTTTGATTCTCTGATGATTCTGCAATGAAAGTACCATGTTACATTCTTTGTATATTAATAGAAAGATATTTGTGTACATCTCTGTATGTTTACATCTCTGTATGTTTACATCTCTGTATGTGTATACATCTCTGTATGTTTACATCTCTGTATGTGTATACATCTCTGTATGTGTATACATCTCTGTATGTGTTTACATCTCTGCATGTGTGTACATCTCTGCATGTGTGTACATCTCTGCATGTGTGTACATCTCTGTATGATTTAAGACAAACAGGGACTGTAAATTTGAATTTTGGGTAGGCTTAGTTTAAGAAGAAATATACAAATATTGGTCCTAGGTCTAACCTTTTTCTTTCTGAGGTAAAACAGTCTTGATTTGATTTAGACCAGGCTTTCATTAGATTTTATTTTTAATATAGCCACTTCAGTAACTGTCTAAAGACAGGCCTCTTGAACATTCATACTTTGATGAGTAACTGCCAGCCAATCAAATTTCTTCCCTCCCCAACGCTGGGATTTTGGACCTTGAACAAAAGGTGTATTCAGTCTCTATTGCTTCTTAGAATACACCTTTTATTTGCATCACAAAATTACAGTGTTAATTTTCATTACACAGGAAACAAAATGGACTGCTCTATACCATGTTAAAGTTTGTGTATTATATTATTAAGTTTGTGTATGTTGTTTAAAGTTTGATGTAATATTTAAAGGTAATGCCAGGCCTTCTAATAATTTCATACATCCTAAAATGTATTCATTGGTGGTTAGATGCATTTAAATCCAGAATTTCAACGGACATATTTTTTGAGGTTCTATAGCACAGTCGGTTAAAGTGTTGGTTCTTTACATGATGTCATTTGCTTGTTTATGTTGAGCAAATGACTGCTGTGGGTTCCAAACTCTATCAGCGTCTGATAGTCCAATGACCTTGAAAAAGTCAATCTGTAAATCCAGTAAAGATCAATGCCAAGAGGTTTGGCCAAGGACCAGCTGGTAGAAAGGATCCTTAATTGTGAACCTAAATTGTTATCCTTGTATAATATAGGTGTTTATATTTTTTATGACTGGCTCCCACTGTGTCAAAACAAAATGAAAGTTTGATATATCAGTAATATCACGGATCACTAAGAAGAGTTATTGCCCATGACTTACACAATATAGAATTGATGATTTCAAGGCTTCATCAAAATTGTTGATGTTTTGGGAGTTTATTAGATGTGAACTGCTTGTTTAAATTAAGTTATCAAGTTATTTCTGAGGGTTAAAAAATATTTGTATTCAGTATAATTTAATTCATAAATTCTGACTGTTTTTAAACTGAGAAATAGTAAAATTAAAAGAAGGCAATAAATGTTTTGTAAAATATATTAATATGTTTTGTAATAAACTTGATAATTTAAAAAAAAATATTATTGATTGGAATAAAATGACTACATAGATAAAGTTTTTAAACATCGAATATTTAAAGAACAAATAATTCCCTTTGAATTTCAGTTGAAATATTTCTTTACATTTTTCTTTTGTTTTATACATGCTATATAACTGTATCTGATATAAGACTATATTACACTAGACATTGTTATGAAACAAGCACATTTTTTTTACGCCAGTATAAATTGTGTTGAAACATTATATTGTGTACTGTTTGTAAGATAGAAATAGGCATAGGTAAAGAAGCACAAAATATATGGATATACTATTTCTTAAGAAGCATAAGATATATGGATATACTATTTCTAAAGAAGCATAAGATATATGGATATACTATTTCTAATGAAGCGCAAGATATATGGATATACTATTTCTAAAGAAGCATAAGATATATGGATATACTATTTCTAAAGAAGCATAAGATATATGGATATACTATTTCTAAAGAAGCATAAGATATATGGATATACTATTTCTAAAGAAGCATAAGATATAGAAATAGTATATCCATATATCTTGTGCTTCTTTATTATATTGTGCTGAAGTTTTTATTAAAGGAATGTGCTTATCTCATAATATTGTCTTTGTGATATGTATGTCTACTTTTTATCTGAATCGAATAGAATGGTGCAAATCAGTGTCCCTGATACACATAAAAAATGTAGAAAACCTCTTCACAATCCCTTTAACTTTCATATACATATATTGGTTAAGCACTAACTATAAAATGATAAAAAAAAATATTCAATTGAAAGGAGCATTTGGATATTGTAATGACATGGAACATGGTGTAAAAAAAAATTGTATCAGATCACCAATTGCCAGTCCTGTTGTTAGGGTGGGGTCCGTCAGGGCTGGGCCCCAGCAAGTGAGAATTAAGCCCCAGCAAAACCTTCTTCAATTCAGAAGAGATTGTTTCATTTACAGTGTCTTTGTACTTAATCAAAAAGATAGATTTTAATATGTTTTTGGTACCTCAAAATTGTCAGAAATGAGTTCTCTGGGCCTTTAATTCTTCATATTTTCTGAGTACAAAATCTGGAATGTGGAATCAACCACTGAAGAAACACAAAAACAAAATATTTGATATGCTGGGTTACAATAACAAAATATTTTTTCATTGTTGAAATATTGCTCATTCAAAACATCAATTGTAGAGGGATATAAAAATATTAAAACAGACCCTGAAACATGTTGTATTCAGATTTTCACCTGTGTGATCTTCAGATACCTGATTTATTTCAGCTTGTGTCCCTACTGAAGTTGGACATGCTTATTATTCAGATTAAGACAAATGGAATAGCTTCCAACTTGTATGTAGTATTTTATACATTCTAGTCTAATATTAAAGATGGGTTTCCTTATTTTTTAATGTCAATTTAAGCAAACTATTTGATTAATTTGTATTTCTAATGAATTATCATGTATTCTTAATCATATCATTATGTTATTATTGCATATAATTATTTAGAAATTTAATTAATCATAAATATATGTTCAAAAAAAGACTTTTTGACTTTTCTTGATTGTCACTGGTAATTCTCTTCTAATTTAGCTAATTATGAATTAATTACGGACATGTGAGACAAACTGGTATTTTTCCAAGTCATAAGAATACCTCTACTTTCTATTCATATAAGTATTAGCATTTTCATTTTCATAAATAAAAATATGGGAACCCATCAAGTCCCCTTTAATTACATTGTATAAGAAAGTTATTCATGGAAATATGATAATAAAATATATAACTGTTACTAATTGTTCCTTCCTCAAATTATAATGGGTTTATACCAACAGTTAGTCAACTGAACCATCTTGTTACATAAAATTTAGTTTTTTGAGCACATTTGAATTTGCTGGTCCTCTATTTTTGACAGTCAGTGAAATAAGATGGGGCGCACGGGCAGCTTTGATTGTAAACGAGAATATTTGGCTAATGATTCAATAATAACTTATATAAAATATTTTCCGTTTTTATTGATTTTCAATATGTTTTATTTCATCCTAAGATGATAATCTACAAGTTACGTCAAAATCCGTCGAGAATTGTGACTATACTGGAGTGTTTACGAGCTAGCTATTGAATGAACAAGTCTAATAATTCAGATCAAAATATAATATTTTTATTCACCTACAATGGTCCCTTCCATATTTCTTGTAAGCACAATAGAGGCTACAGATTGTATCCGATCTTAATGAAACTTGGTATTATGATTAATGATTAATCTCAGATCAAGTTAGATTTTGATAACAATAAGATGAAAGGTTTCGAAGGTTTTTGCCTCGATTTAATAACAAAGAATCAAATTTGGATTGTAGACACGATAAAGGCAAAATTTTGTATCCGATTTTGATGAAAATTGATATACTAAATATATGTTGATTAGATCCAGGTCAAGTTCGTATTGGTAACAACCGGATGAACGCTTTTGGAATTATCCGTTTAGAAAAATCCGTTTCAATTCGATTCGATTCGATTCTGTTCGGTTTGCTTTGCACTGTAATCCTCACTGCCGGGAAAAGTCATCAAGATAACTTTTTATTTTTAGTAACACCTCATGTGACAGTTATAAAATAAAAATAATTTTCCTTTTTATCTTCCCATTCATATTCGTGTACTTTTGTTGGATTTTCAAGTATTTCCTCTTTAACGCCCCTGTCAAAGGGAGACGCCATTTTATACCCCACGTAATATACTTATAAAGATGTCATATGGTTTAGCATTTCTACTTATCTGGATCGTATGCGGAAGATTTCCACCTGGAGGTAGAATTTTCTATCTAGATAACTTCTGGTTATAACCGAATAAATTGTTTTGCCAGTGCGAAAATTACTGGAAGTTATTCGGATGAAACTGGATAGGACCGAATTACTTTTGCAGTAAAAAAAAAACTCTGTATTAAGAAGTGACAGTGAATGAAATGAATGGAGTTTTACGTCCTACTCTTCTGCACCTTGTGGGCTAATGAAGACGGTGACAGTGAATGAGATATTTATAAATTTTCAGTTTTTCAAAGACCTTTATGAGAAATATGTTACTGTTTCTAACACTAACAGCTGTCAGTAGGCGTTTGTCACCTTGTCTGGCAAGCTCTTTATTTTTAATATGGTTGAACAATATTTTGAACACGTTTCGAAGAACAAGGGCAATAACCCCTATCAAATAGTTTCCAATGTTATTGATTTAAGATAGAGTTCATTGGTTGATAAATAAAATTTCAAATTCCGAATTGTGCTTTCTTGAGTGTTCAGGAGCTATAAAATATTTAACATGTTTTCAAAACAATTGAAAGGGCAATAACTCATATATAATAAGATATTTTATTATACGTGTACGTATAAGAAGAATTTGCCGCATTTTGGGGTCACTATAAAATGGGAGTGTAGATTTTAGAACCAGGACCAACGTTTCACTTCGGTGCGTAAGTATAAATATTAAAGGGACATTCCGCTTTTAACCAAACCAACGACTACCATTCGACTACCAATCAACAAAAAATACCATGATCAGAACGAGTTTGGAAGAATGAAGGAGACCGATTAACTCACGCCACACCATCCACGGCCGAGTTTCACCGCCATGTCATTCGACCCGACCAGATCTAACGAAGAATCAACAACCAAACCAACAACTACCTAGTTTGCGATATCAGCATCCGCTGGAAGCGAACGTTAACTTGTCATCTACCTACCTACCTCCGCTTTTTTTGTAGGTCGAAATTATTTTTTGCTCAAATTTGTGAAAACCATACACCAAAATATAGAGAAATGTGCCCTTTAACGTGTCTTACAGCTTTAACTAAAAAAATCCAGTCGTTAATTTTTAAACGCCAAAAATATTTAAAAACATATAAGGTTTTGTAAGTTCGTTATGCTTTTTTGGAAGCTGTTGGAAAACTACTGTACGGATTTGAGCAAAATAAACGCTTAATTGTAGACACGTATGTCATACGTATTCTAAAGGTTTTAACTAAATATAACGAGCCTTTAAAACACCAAACCTAGGTCAAACTGCTTAATTAACAATAAGTACTTCCCGTTTTTAATTAACCCTTTTAAATAAATTCAATTTGACCAAGAAGTTACATAGATATAAATGGCATATTTTAGAAACATTTTCAGGTATAAATTACGATGTTTTTAATTATGAAAACATTTGACAAAAAGCGTAATGTCCCTTTAACGTAAGAAGGCCATCAAAGGTTAAATTAAGGAATCGAGATTCAGATAGTCAAATTGATTTTCATTGATTTCATTTTTGTTCCAATAAGTTTGAAAGATAATAGATTGGGTTGAACGGGACTGAGGTAAAAAAACCTAAACCAATTTTCCATCCACTTAGGGACAGTTGTGCCATTATGAAGGGTTAATTTTAGTCTTGAATATATGTAAATAATCTTTAGAAGTACTAGAAAATCACATAATTCCTTTAAAATACTTCAAGCTAGGAATTTTACTCACTTTTTCTATATATATGTTTTCTATATACCGGTATCACAAAGTATCTTACATTGACAAGTCATCATTTTAACATTCAAACGCAGATAATTCTGGACACATGGGTTTGAAGGCTCAAATTTCGACGGTGTGTTGTGAACACTATAACTGATTAGCTCAGCTAAAAAAATTCCAGTTTCTGGGGCAAAAGTAGGCCTACGATTAGTCAAATAAATTGACCGACCTAATATTTAAAAATTTCACAATCACATGACAATTTGACCAACAGCTATAGCGTTAGGTTTTTAAGTAGGTTCTTGCATCAATTAGTAAAATTTTACTGTTAAAGATGAGTTTCCTTTTTTTTAGCACACTATGTGTATTCTTATTGCATATCATAAATAGTTTTAACCAATCATAAATGTAGGCCTACATGTATGTACTGTCTCGATAAACCAAAAATACTTTTTGACTTTAATTGATCGTTCACTCATTGGAATTCTGCTGGTAATTCTCTTCTAATTTAGCTAATTATGAATTAATTGTGGACACGTGAGTCAAACTGGTATTTTTCCAAGTCATTAAAACACCTCTACTTTCTATTCATATAATTATTAGCATTTTTATTTTCATAAATGAAAATAAGACAACCCATCTTTAACCTACTTAAACCAAACATGAACAGAATTTGGAATCTAATTTTGACAGCATTTTCTAACTTTTCATAATTGTCAAGTATCGATCGTTATGGTAATTGTAATTTTAAAAGTTCGGTTTCATATGTATGACTTCGTTCAGTAGAAAACCACGGTTAACTTTTGGCTTCTGTCATGATTGTATTGAGTGGAAATAAATAAAGTAAGCCTCTACAATTAAAATAAAAAGGTCAAAACCAATCGCAGTTTAGGAATTTTTAATATAACTGCATAATTAGAGTAAGGCTAAGCTTATAATTGGAAATTACACTGCTGCACGCTGATACGGGAGAACGATTTATTTCAATCTGAAACTTATGAAAGGACTGTAAATAGTCATGGGGAAATCCCCCTAGTCTCGATTAACCTAGCTGATGGGAAGATGTTAAAACCCACGACTTGATATTCGAGAGCTGATGACGCATTAGAGACGAAATAAGCCATTTGGTTTTTCCTTTGTAGGTGAATAGACTGTCCTATTTGTACACCGTTTTTCGAATTTCTTCACAATTGTTGAAATTATCATCGTTAAGTAAGGAACGATAGATTTTTTAGACATGGCTAATTTACCTACGGACGTTGAGGAAGATTTGGCTTTGGACGAGGTGGACGGATTCTTTCCCAGCGTTGAATCAAGACCAAAGGCATTCGAAAAGTTACGTGGTGTCGGTGTTCCCTGTAGTGATCAGATAGATTCAGGCGTTTTTACAAGTGTTTCTGACGATGGGTATAATTCAAGTAATTATAGTGGTTTAGACAATGTTCAAATATTACTTCGTGGACTTCAAGTAACGGACAGCTGTTCAAATGAAGTGATTACAGACTCTATTTCTCTGAACAAAGTGAGGTCTGCAAAAGTGGCAACACATGACTTCACCTGTCACAGCAGAAATGAAAATTCGTCCTCACCTGTGCAAGAATCATGCTCGGTTGTGCCACAAAGTGTCATTGACGAGACCGTGAAAAATAGGTTAAAAGACTTAGACAGATTTGACAGTGGTTGTTGTTCAGAAAGCATAGACTTGTTTCCCAGATCGGAAATCAGAGAAATTGTAGAACCAACAAACTTAAATAGTGAAGAATATGCAATTCAATTTTATCAACCCGACGAAGACGGTGATACGTAAGTTTTGTTCTTAATTTGAATGGTCACAATTTCCTGTAGATAAAAGAGATGTAGTAATTTTCGAACGCCTGTGGAATACATTATCTTCATTGATTTGGACTATATGCCCTATTGGGCACACTTAACCAGATTTGAGCGGAAAACTTTATAAGCGTCTCTTCGGGTTAAAGGTGGCTTTTGTTTGTTAAATTTCCTTGTCGTCTGGGTTTAACCAGGGTAAATTTCGAACAGGACATAAGCCTTGAATATTTTAACCTAGAAATCTGGGTCATTGTGATAACTAGGTATATGACTGTGCGCAATTGGTTACTATTTTTAGTAACATTGGAAACTCCAACTTGCTCCCTTGCAGAGTTCACCAACTCACATGCTACGATAATAAACCTATTCAATGATTTTCCTAAAGTTGTGATGACCTTATTTTAGAAATACCGTACACAAAATAATATGTTTGCAAATTTTGAATGATTGAATGCAGTTCAAATTTTATTGTGTTTAAAAAAAGGAAAGTGCCACACCCTCTTTTAGCTCATTTAAACAAAGAAAGACATTTGATCAATTAAAAAAAGTTTTGCACGAGAACAATGAAGTGCAAAGCAAAAAGACTGCATTGGCTTCATGCATTAGGCCTATAGCTGACTTAATCAATATTATAAATTTTGTAATTCTTATATTTCAGAGATCTCCATAACTCCATTATTCTCAATGGGGAAATATCTATGCAGCTCATATCCATAGCCCCCACATACGAATGGTTAAATTTTCAAAACAGACTGTCACAAACACCCTTACATCTAGCTGTGTTAACCAACCAACCAGAAATTGTACGCAGACTGATAGTGGGCGGAGCTCAAATTGACATCCGAGATCATAAAGGCAACACCCCTTTACACATCGCTGCTCAGAAAGGATACCAAAATATTGCTAAACTCTTATTGACACCTGTCTTTCATAATGAGATCAACGTTAACAGCTACGAGATTCCATACCAAAAGATTCCACAAGATTTAGAAATCAGAAATTATGATGGTAAGAGAGATACTTTTATTTTGTGTTCCCATTTCCCATACAATAGTGAAAATTTGCTCTCAAAAAAATGGTCCATTGTAAAGCTAAAAAAATTATGTAAGAACTGGCAAAAATTGCACGAAAATATGCATGAATGAGAAATGATTATCAATTTGAAATTATGAAGCAACAGTACTAAAGTGTTTTAAAAAAATTTTTTTTTTTTTTTTCAGGGTTGAGTTGTTTACATTTAGCAGCCCTTGGTAACCATTATGATAGCATGCGGCTTTTGTTGGAAAATCGAGCCCCTATTAACATAGCGGTAAGTTTATTATGTCGCTGGGAAAGATTTAGTTTAATAGGGAAGTGGGTTTTTACACACTTACCAAGGACATGAAAAATTTCCAAAATTTAATGAAACTGTGTTTATTCATGTGTAAAAAAGAAAGTAGGTTATGGAATTTTGGAGAAATTTGTAAAAAAAAATTCAATAAAATTTATGGAAAATTTCAAAAAAATCGGCTGTCAATGGTTCAGAAAAATATAAAATGTTTAATATCAATTTTTTATGAATTATGTAATTTTATTTTACAGGATGGTAAAAGTGGAAGAACAATTTTACATTACGCTGCAGAACAAGGCAATGAAGACCTCTTACATTTTATACTGAGTTCACCTAACACTGATATTAATAAGAAAACCTATGGTGGACTAACAGCCATTGCGCTAGCTAATGGTCGCGGTTATAATGAAGCTGTTAGAATTCTGTATAGGAATGGAGCTGATACTACAGGTTTAGATGAAAACCAAGATGATTCTGATGAAGAAATGGTAAATAAATTTCTCATGTTATGTTTCTTTCCAACTATTAGCCCAATTAGAGTTGAAAAGAAGGAAGTATATCTCAAATTTCTGTTTTGATTTGGGAGAATGTAATTTTTTCCATCAGAATCCATTTCCTAGTACCTAGAAATGACTCATGATCAAATGAAATGGAGAAAATATGGAAATTTGTTTTATTTGTGAAGTTTTATATACATTGTGTTATGAAAATGGGTATTTTTGTGTAAATTTAAAAATGACCAACTTTCTATTTTTCAGGACACCATGTATGATGATATTGAAATCAATGGTGAAAGAGTCTTTACTTGAAAATCCAGCATGATACATTTCATCATTATGACTCAGAGCTCACTCTAAGAGTTTTGTGTTCATTCCAGAGCACTTCCAGAGTTCCAATAGAACTCCAAGAAGATTGTCACAGAAAAAGGAAATTGAATTTATTACCTTAGAAAATTTTTTTTTTATATACTGTAGCTTATAAAACAATTGTTTATTGTACTGACACTTTCAGCAATTTTATTAGAAATTGATATAATGCCAATGAAGTATCTGATAATACCAGGAACATTTTGACTCTATGAATCTGTTACAATGTCTTGCCACATTAAAGGTAAAAGTTCTTTGAGAGACTGAAATTATTCTTGCCAGATCTTGTGTCATTCCTGCGAAATATTTTTTCTGCGTTAAATTTTATAAATTTGCTGAATTTGTCCGTACCAGTACATAATTGATAAATATACATAATTACAATGGGATTGACTAGTAAAAATCGGGATGGATTAGTAAAAATTGGGATTGATTAGTAAAAATTGGGATTGATTAGCTAAAATTGGGATTGACAATTAAAATGGGATTGACTAGTTTGGATGGAATTGACTAGTAAAAATGGGATTGACTAGTTGAAATTGGGATTGACAATTGAAAATGTGATTGACTAGTAAATATTGGGATTGACAAGTAGAAAAGCAGATTGGCTAATTGAAATAAAATTGAATTGTTAATTACCATATACTGTAAGAATCTCTTGTTACCCTTTTAACATCTTAAGAATTTATCTTCTTTTTCTGTGACAATCTTCAACAAATCTAACAGACTATGGTGAATTTGGTGAGGTGGGACAATATCAGAAAATATTTATAGGTGGAGATCACCAAATTACTCTGTAAACCAGATGTCTTGATTTGTTATTACTTTTACTAAGGTTGAGAAGGTTTTCTCCCTTTTTGGATTATGGCAAGCTGAAATGTAGCTTTTGCAGTGTACCATCTCAAATAGAATAGACTTTTATTATTCAAATCATAATCATAAGTCTTTAATTAATAACCTATTTTTTATTATTATTGAGTTGTATAAATATTTATGTTAATATATTGTTTTGAAGTTATTAAAAAATTTAAATGATATACATTGTTGTTCTGATGGGCAAAGAAAAAGATTTGATCTATCTTAAAGAGACAGATTCGCAATTGTTGTTGGGGGTTGTTTTGGGCCTTGAAGAAATGCATGTATATGTATAGTCTACAGAAGTACTGGATAAGTAAGAAAATCGCACAATTCATTCAATAGTATCCCAAAATAAAAATTCCACTGTCTATTTCTATATATGATAGAGTCTCATTAGAACAATGTTCTGAACACTCATGGCTCAAATTTTGACCGTGAGCTGTGAACACCATTACTGTTTAGCTTAGTTGAAATCCCGTTTCTGAGCCGTACGATTGGCCAAACGGAAGTCGAACATATACCTCTAAAGATCTCCTTACAAAGTGCATATGATATATTATAACCTTTTGAATAATTGTATACTGTCAACATCCTGGTTATAAAATTGATGCATTCAGGTCACATTTCAAGATCCATGCAGTTAAAATGCGAAAGTTCATTGAGGCAGGGTTAAATTACTAACTCGACATTCAGACATGGTCAGTTTGAACTCCAGACAGAGTGATGGTCAAATTATTTATAAGTTGGGGAATACAAGGCCAGATCTTTTCCACCAGCAGTCATTGTGTTTGGGATGACAGCTCCCTGTATCAATGGGCCTGTCACAAACTTAACTTCCGTTCATATGCGATCACATACGTTACAATGCGTTACAATGGGGTTGTTTTGTGTGCAGTCTACGATCCCGACTATAACTATTCATTGCACTTTGTTACGATGCATTTAACATTAAACTTGGCCAGTTCAAAACAATTTTTACGATTAAAACAATTGTCACTACTGACCCCGAACTCTGATATATAGATAGGGTAATAATAATCACGATTAGTTGACGCTACAAACCACGATGTAAAATAATATTAAACAGTCACCTATTCAAATACATATAAACTTTTCTAGAATGTTTTAGTTTTTGGAATTATAAGCAGCGATCAATTTCTCCAAAGAGAGAGCAAAATGCTCTTTGGCACGGACGCCTGCATTTCAGTTACACTAACAAACCCTGGGTTTGTACGTCATAAAGAATTCTCAGAAAATGGTTAACGTGAAAGTACAATTTACTTTGCAGTAATCTTTCCACCAGGAAACTAAAAGTGTATCTGCGAGTAAAAATATTTGATTTCCCGGTGTAAAGGCCCAGAGAAAATATGTCTTTTGTCAATATTATCTTCCTTTCCTATTTTCTGATCTGATATGATCTGTGATACCCACAACTATTCCATATATTCTCAGGACGTAATGTGATGAACTATAGAGGTTTTCCCAAAGGTGACAATTCCCAACTGATTCAGAATGACTATTTCAGTCTACTTTCTTTGAATGCACATATCACATGAAAGATGTCTTGTTTTACCCACGACTAATAAGGAAACAAGCGTAAGCTTTAATAAAGTCAGCAAGATAAAAAGACTTCCATATAGGAACTGACTAAGAAATATAAGCGAAAAATTCCATATTTAACAATTTGCCAAAGGAAATAGTGATTCTACAGACCTACTTATAGATATAGATATAAATAGATATTTATCGCCCTTTTTGGCAGCATAGGAATATTAATACAGCTAAAGAAAAACAGAAACAATGAATTGGACGGGAATATAACTTGTATCCCGTAGTAGCGCCACTTTTCTACGGAAAATATGGTAACCATTTGAAGTCTACCGTAAGCGTAGCGATGAAAGACATAACTGCCACAGACAACAGGCTTTTGCCTCATAGAAAAAGACCCCATTATAGTCCGACCCAACATTTAATAAGCTTTTTAAGTATTTAGTAATTCAAAAATATGAATGTACTTTCATTTACCGGAACGTATTCGTAGCGAAACGATGTCTCACGTAAATTTCCAATACTACTTTAAATCATCCAGTCGTGATTACTAGTACTGTATCTGACTATGACGAAAGCGTTACTAATAATATACAATCATATTATACACCAATACAATCATGATGTATTACCATATATAGGTAAACGTTTAAGTTGTATTTGATCGCAGTGACATATTGTGTTATGGTTACGTAAATTAGTTTATCAAAAAGAAACTCGGTTATGGCTTTGTTGATGTATTTTTAGATATGTACATTGCCTAACATCATGCATAGACATTAAAATTAAAGAAAAAAAGTACAGTTGACACTCAAATTAAATTATGAAAGTTTTATTGCAAACCTTATATTGGATGTCCCGGATTAAACTTAATGAATTTGAGCTGAGGACGAGTGAATTTTGATTTTGATTTTTGATTCAGCCCCAGGATTTCTGTCTCTTCACTAATTCTCGATTTCCTTAAAAGGGGTCGGGGTTGGGAGGAACTGGAAAACTTATATAACTTGAATTGCTTCTTGAGTCACATAGTTGGGCTCCCTTAAAAATGTTGCCTCTCTCCTGTAGTCTTGAGACCCTGGGCTAGCGACGGGCCTGCTACTCGTATACCCACAACACCACAGAAGACACGTGTAGAGCCACCAAAAACAATAAACAATATGCGTGTATTATAAGTAAGAGTGAGACATCTCTGACAAATAACGTCATGATAAAAATATTTTTACCGATCCCAATTAGTATCGAGAGTTGAATGAGTTCACTTTTCTATAAAATCAGAGGTCATTATAGAGACATTGCATATACATGTATAAGTTTATATAGGCAAAATACACAATTACCCGTATAATTCATTTGTAGAAGTAAGAGCGATCTCTGAGTAGCCCATTTACCCCCATTAATATCGAGAGTTGAATGAGTACATCATGTACTAGAATATTATTGCACATCTAATTATATTCATATATTATGTATAACTATTTATTTAGAGCGCACGAGGAGTCTACGTGTATACTAGTATAGGTCTACATAACGACACAGGAAAGTTTGATTGAGGATATATGTATTATAGCGTAATAAAAATCCCGCAGAAGATAACCTATTTTCTGTTTTTGACTTTTTCTAGGATTTTCCACATTGAAGAAGGATGTTTATTATGTTACATAATTAGAGCTATGCCGGGAACTGGTAATATCACGGAAGCATTTGCCATTATAGACCACCCCTATATAGACGTTATATATAAAATATGTTTTTTTAGGCGTATATGTATATGGTCTTTGTGTTAAGGCTACGACGAATCTCTGTTATCCTTCCTTCAGAAAAAAGGACTGAAGATACACACAGGTGAAACTTTTCTTCTTGGGGTATACCGCTTTTATTTTTGTAAAAATGTCGTAAATTATAACGGAAAATATTTCTAAAATGTTATTTATATCTACATATCTACTTGATGAAAATAAATTTGTTTTAAAAATGTTTATCAAAAACTGAGAGTACTAATTGTTAATTAAACAAATAATTTGACCTAGTTTGAAACCTTTAGAATTAGTAGGAGACATATTTTTCTACAATTAGGCGTTTATTTTACCTACGTACAGTAGTTTTATAACAGCTTCTAAAAAGTATAACGAACTTAAAAACCTTACGTAATGTTTTAAAATATTTTTGACGTTCAAAAATTAACGACTGGATTTTATTAGTTAAAACTTTCAGATGCC